CCAGAACAATTGCCAATATTGTTCCTTGGGGTTCCTGAATAGGAGTATAGTGCAATACACCCAAACGTGTTAGTCTATGCTATTCCAATTCGGAAGCAGTCCCATGTTGTCGAATTGCATCATGCTCGTTCGTTCGTCTAGGCAATATCACGACTCTTCGAGGTGTTGAGCTGTTCTAGCCAGTCAGATTTGCAGTGTACTCGGCAGCGGGTCCTCCTTAAACGCATCTACACGAAGCACCTGGAGTTTCTGGTCTTAAAACTTGAATTTCAAAGTCATCAGCATGAACTCTTCTTTCAAGGTTGGGTCGCGCCGGCGCAGCGGGCTTCTCTCCAGGTGAAGGACGGTCATGCAACGCCTACAAATGGGAGTTTCCGAAAACAGGGGACCCTAATATAGTACTCTGCATAGTAGGATCCTTATTACAAGGACCCCAAAATAGGTACCCCTAGTTTTCGGAAACCCCCATATAGTGTTTGGCATCAGCGTGGCCTGGGCTTTTGGGCGAAGGGGGTCGACTAGTGCTGCATGCAGGCTCAGGGATTTGACATGGTTTTGAGACCGCACCGTACACAATTGAGAGTTTTCCCTACCTTGATTTATGTGCTATGACTTTTGCCAAGTGTTTGTTTTTGACGGGGAGGAGGGAGGGGCGAGGTTGTATCGGTCTGGCGGGGGCATAAGCAAAGTTTCCTGCAAGGAGCACTTTTGAAATGTTTCGGTTTGCCGTTGTGGCTTATGGCTTCGATAGCAGCCTATAGGCTTGTACGCTCAGGGTACGGCTATCTAAAGGGTGTACGCACGAACACCACTGGGGAAGGTACGAACTCGGCGAGGGCAATGACAATCCTCATGACTTTTTGCAGAACCACAGCTGCGGCTGTCGTGATGTTCTTGCATTGGCAAGTGTTCCTTCAGATTGTGCATGCAAGTTGATACTTGTTCATCGCTGTGTGTCATGGTGCCGAGTGCAAGCCACTATAAATGTCTGATTGCTAGATCTAAACTCAATGTAGTCACTGCTGTAGTCTTCAGGATAACAGTAACTATCCACTCTCGTTCAGAAGGAAGCGAGGTATGAGTTAGAAGCTCACGATCCCGGAAGCCTAAAGCCGTAAGCACCGAGGCCCCAAGCTTCTACACCCTACTGCTCCCTACCGTGCTACTGTTGATGGACAAAAACCTGCATGACCTGAAGCGCCCTAAGCTATGGGAATTATGGTATATTCCTTATTATGGGTCATGCAGGATTTATATCATCCTAAACCCTAAACCCTACTGGAAAAAGGTCCTCAAAACAAAAAACCCTATAGATCCCTTAAAGGTGCCCTTATAGCTCCCTTTAAAGGAACCCCAGGATTTATATCATCAACCGTCGTATGGAGGAGAAAGACCCCAAGAAGTCCAAGAAGCAGATGAGTCGGACGGGCCTGGAATCTTGACAACATCAAGGTTTAGGGTTTAGGGTTTAGGGCGGGGGGATCACCCCAAGTCTCCAAGATAGTATAGGTAATTTTTTAAGGCCCCTATAGTACCTAAAGTAACTAGGGTTATGAGTTTGGGTTTAGGCTTTGGGGTTTTGGGTTTACCTATAGTCTCTATTGTAGTTCCTTTTTGGGGTTACCTTTTAGGATCCTTAATATAAAATTGGTTAAACCAAAAAAAAGGAACGACAATGGAGACTATAGGTAGGGCGGGGGGTTCACCCCAAGTCTCCAAAACCCCTTAATTAAGGAATATACCACAAGTTAGGGTCTCGGATCGAGTCTGACCAAGGAGTCAGATATAGCTGAGGACCCCAGTACCTCTGAGATAGGTACGACCGCGGCCACAGCCATAGCCGGAACGCCCAGTTCGCCGGCCTGGCACCGCCGACTAAGGAACAAGCGATCAGTGCTGCGAGCACGGATCTGGACAGCCCGTCGCCAAGGACGACGTGTGCCAATCAAAGCCGTAAAGGTCCTACAAGGGCACCACTCGAAGCCCAAGTACAGAGAAGCCCAAATGGGAAGGGGCAAGGACGCATGGGCAGGATGGCAACCGGCATCCTCTGGCTATGCGGGATGGTACTCCACGGACGGATGGGGATACCAAGCAGCGGCCAAACCCAAGGGTGGTGGCAGACCGAAGTGGCCCAAGGAGTACAAGTACGAGGACCACGATGTGCAGTTCCCCAGCTACGAGATGATGAAGGGCAGCGCCAAGGGCAAGGACAAGAGTGCCAGAGGCAGCAGAGATGTGCCCGAGGAGGACGACGAAGCCGAGGTGCCCAGTGCGATCGGACTGCTACGTGGAGTACAACGGTATGCCAACCAGATCCGCAAGGCCGAGACCAAGCTCCGCAAGCTGGAGAGCGACGGCAAGGAGGTCGAGATCAAATGGCAGCAGTTTCAGGAGAAACTCAAAAAGTCCTTCATGAAGGAGAGGGCCAAGTACCAAGAGAAAGTTGCCCAGTACCACCAGGAAGTGGAGGAGCACAAGGAAATGAAGATCAGCGCCCTGGCAAGCTTGCAACAACTGCTGGCAGACCCGACTCAGCCGGCGGAAGCAGAGAAGACCAGCGAGGAGGACGCGGAAGCTGCCGAGGCCTGGGACGAGCTCATGAAGGAAGCGGATGTGGACGACGTCAATGGCCTGAACTCACCCAAACCTTCCCAAGACCCCGTTATTGAGGTAACTGGGGGTTGGTTCCCACAATCATCGGGAACCATAACGTTGGTTCCTACTCCACTTGCTGTTTTCGACGATTTCACGATGCAAATCCAAGTATGATCACATAATTCTTGATTGCTCCTCGACTTTTCACTCTTTCGGTTGAAATTACCCACTCCAGAAGCAAGCCCATGCATCTCCAAAAACTATACCTGATAGGATGGCTTATAGGTTTGGGGGTTACATTTAGTTTCAATTGTATACAAGCTTAGAGGATTCGGATAGTGTCGTGATTGATTATTGTGTCGCAAAGCTGCGACTTTGGCGTCCGGAGGACTGGCTTGCATGTTTTCTGGATCTAGTGCTATGCTTCTGAGAATCTCCAAAAGTTACATGGTTTAGGGTTTCGGTATGAATTGCGGTTCGACATACATATATATATATATATATATAAGGAATATATCCTTCGATCTTATTAAATATGTATTGGTTAATGGAGTGTTGCAAAGCTGCGACTTGGCTTCCGGAGCGGAGCCGGAGGCATGTGTTTGGGATTTAGTAGTGTTCTATTATGGGCTATAGGCTTTTGAAGCTTTTCGGGAAGTCAGGGTGGGAGAGCTCTTTGGTCATGCGGGGATTTGGGGGGGCCACGGCTCTCGGGGGGCCTTTATGGGAGCCTGTTTGGGCTCATGCGGGGATTTTGGGGGCCACTGTGGGGGCCTGGGAGAGCTGTTTGGGCTCATGCGGGGATTTGGGGGGCATGGTGGGGGCCTGCGGGGCCTGGGAAAGCATGCCTCCTGTCAGAAAATTCTGGCCGGGTGCCCAAAGTGGGGGATGTGGCTATTACGGTTCCCACTCTTTCTGTTACGGTTCCCACTCGTTCTGTTACGGTTCCCACTCGTTCTGTTACGGTTCCCACTCGTTCTGTTACGGTTCCCACTGCCCTCCCGGACACCCTGAAGTTAAGCACCCCCAACTTAAACACCCCGAATCTATATATCCGGAGAGATCTCATCCCCAAGCACAAACCCCGGCCAGATGCCCTGAAACCCTCCGTAGCCTTCCTGTAACATCCCAGTCCCAAATAAGTTCTAGAACGCTACAAGACAGTACATGCTTTCAGTAAACCACCGAGCGCTGCGGCTGCTGCTGCTACCCTTTACGACTAGCTAGTACTACTGCTACTGGTGCTACTGGCTGCTGCTGCCGCTGCTACACTACCACTACTACTCCTGCTGATGCAGCTGCCACTGTTTACGACTACTAGCCGACTACTACGACTCTGCTACTCCAGCTATGCTACTACTACGACTCCTGCTGATGCTGCTTCTCCCTGGCTACCCACACGACTACGTAGTAGTACTACTACGACGACAACCAGGACTGCTCACGCTGCTGCTACCCTTACGACTACTAGTATACTGCTGCTCCCATGGTATTATTAAAACGTAAGTGTGTATCTGCTATAGGATGCAAGCTGGTCCACACACGCGAAATCATGATAGAAATGCTTGGCAGTCTTTCCTCCCACATGCCTGCTTGATCAGTCACATTCACCTCGAAACAAGCTTGAAACCTGTACATGTCACAAGAACATACAACAAAATATATGCAAATAGGGCACCTATTTCCCCAAAACAGGCTTTTGCAAGCTGCGGTTTGCACGGAATGGCTGAAACATACCCTTGGCAACCGACCAAACCCGATACAGGCCATTATGACATATTGGTTCCTAGCCGATGTTTCGGTTACAGACCATTCTGGTAACTGACCCGGTTACACAAATATCGGGTAACCGGACGGCTTGGGTCAGTGCTGACGGAAATGGCTGCGGGAAGCATGATCAGCGAGGAGTCCAGAAGGAAACTCCTGGTAGCGATCGAGGGCCACACAGCACAGCAGAGAGGAGCCCCAAAGACGCCAGAACGCAGAACCACCAGGCCAACGGAGACGACACCACCGGCGGTGACGGCGAACAAGCACGGTCCGGCCGAGCCCTATGTCACGGCGGTCCGCACCAGCGACCCGTACTTGACGTCACCTACAGTGGGTCGAACCCGATTGTCGCCATCGGTCCCGAAGAACAAAGGCCGCCAGCCACGTACCCCGGTGAAGGAGGTTGCCAAGGCACCAGTCCCACCGCCGACTGGGGAAAAGCCTTTGACCCAGAAGCTCGAAGCCCGCAGGTACATGGAGATGCTCAAGGCGAACGAGACGGAGATCTTCGATGTCACGGACGACGAGGATACGGTTATCTCGGACCTCAAGGCCAACGACGAGGAAGGCCAGACGGCCAATGCGGAGTAGCGATCCCTGGTGCTGCCCATCCCAGGGCAGCAGACGGCTATATGAACCCGGAGCTGGGGCTTTTTCGGTCAGTCCCCGGCGATCCTCCTGGGCTCCGTGTTGGAGAAGGAGGACAGAACAGATGCGACACCAATTTTGGCTATGTGCAAAAACGGCACGGCCCCGAGGGAGGCCACGTCCGTGCAGAAGCCGGCGGTGACGTTCATATCCGGGACATCTTGGATGTTGCTGCATATGCCATGGCGAAGTTGCAACAGTACCCCTGGCCCTTGGAGATTGTTGAGAGGGCCTTACAAGACTTCGGAAGAACATGGGTGCTCTTCCTCCTGGGGGTTGAAGTCTTTGCCCTAGTGATGCAGTCGAGGTGGAAGAGGCCGTTCGCTGCGCCATCCCCGGGCTGCCAACGAGGGCCAGCTTGGACCAAACTCCTACTCGCCGCGGCCATCATTGGGTCGGTGGAAGCAGCAGGCCCGTGCCCACCCTATCCCGCGAGAACAAGAAGTACCGCAAGCTACTACAATGACCTGGACCAGGATGCAGTGCGAGACGGTCTACGAACTTCAAGCGAGCAACTGGCAGAGGCGGAAGCCAGGTGGGCCCTCTCAAGGCCCCTCATGCACAATGCTGGAGTCTACGCACCCGAGGAATTCTTTGAGGACCGCCCTCCGCCACCAGTACCACCTCCACCGGCTGGACCAAGGGAACACCTTATTGGGGAAGATGAGGAGCGAGCAGTGCACATATCACTTTGGGCATGCTCGCCTCACTTCACGCCGAAGTCTATCGATGTTGCTGTGGCTTTTCCTTGTGAGCTGCAGCACCTGTATGACATTGTCCTTGACTCCGTGGGCGAGATGAGCCATAATTGGCTCACACACACTATGGCGACCAACCCACAAATCAGCGAGGACTATGCCAGTGTGATCCTCGCTCCACCCTGGTTGCCAATGTCGGGTATGTACATCCTCTTGATAGACGCAAGGAGTGTAGGACACCACGCCGGCGCAGTGTATTGGGAAGGGCCAGTTACCAGACGACGAGCCCTCCACTTCCTCGAGGAGACGAACACCGATGATTGGGAGGTCTACGCTTTTGGAGCCCTTGTACCACTTGGACATGCAGAAGCCATCCAACCGGTACAGGCTGGAGTGTTGCAAGTACGACGGCGAGGAGAAGCGGCGGAATGGGCGTCTGACATTGATCTAAGATTGGATGACCCCGGCCGATGGAACCCGCAAACCTCCCACCCAGAGCCCCAAAGAGGCCGGTACATCGAGTTCCAAGCTGAAGAAGATCGTTTCCTTCATGCTGTCGATCGACATGCCGCCAGAACCCCCATCCAGATCGTGTGTGCTGAACTGAATCGGACTACCAATGACACATGGCTACGAGCTCCGACAGACAGACCACGTGCCCTGTGCCACTTCGGGCAGTGTGTGCATACGATTGTGGCGGTGCTTTCCGAGGCCCGACATCCCTCGACCAGGTTCAGAGCGGTCATCATGGATCTACGAGGAGTTGGACTGTGGCCGCAGTGGCTGGCCATTGAGGGAGATACCATGCATCCGGGGGATTACATTGATGGTTTACAGATCCCATACCGAGAGGGCTATTCAGTTGTCGTCCTTGGCGGGCAACGAACGGAAGATGGAGTACACCTCCGTGTCCAAGACGGGGAACTACTTGAAGTGGTGCTTCGGAGCACTGAGGACATCACGCCCACGGAGAACCCGGAGGAGGACTCAGAGTCGAGTGAGCTCGGGGAGGATGATGACACCAGTGATGCGGTTGACATGCTGCCGGACTCCTCGGACCTCTCCCAGAGATCACCACCACGAGGACCGGGGCCCTTTGGTCCACCACCTCCGACCCCAGTGCACTACGACCGCAGCCGCAGTCCAAGACGGCACAATCTTCCCGAGAACAGCGGAGGCGAAAAGATTGAGCTCCATGCATGCTTGCCCCCGGCAACACACAGCATCGCGGAGGAGCTCATTGAGTTGCCACATACCCCTGAGGACATCACTACGGCCTTCCATGTATGGCCCAGTGACTGGATGAGCTATGATGTCAGAACTTTGGACCTCAAGGACACCACCAAGCAGGCCCTGCAAGACCTACCACATTGGAGTCAGCTGCTGCAGGTGCATGGCAGTGACACGAAGCTGACGGCGTTCCTATATGTCGATGGTTCGCACTATGAGAAAACCAACCGCGCTGGATATGGAGTTGCCATCATCTTGAGATGTGCGGGCATCCTCGCTTTGCTTGGGGCCTTTGGGGGCCCAATTCTTTGCGAAGGAGGAGATGTTTGGGACTTCGAGGCTCCCATGGCCCTGAAAGCGGAGCAGATCGCTATTGCAACTGCCCTCCTATGGCTAGCACAGAGCCGGACTTTCATCAACATTGAGGAGGCCTACGTCAAATATGACTGTCAAGCAGCCGGCAAAGGGGCGGAAGGAGCTTGGCGGGCGCCCAATGAATTCGGCAACAAGCTTCGACATTTGGAGCAGTATGTACGCGGGATGATGGAGGACCGGTTAGCCTTTGAGTACACCCGTGCACATGTCGGAGAAGAATGGAACGAGCTTGCGGACTGTATAGCCAAGGCAGGTGCCCACGCGATACCGGGCCTGCCAAGGGCACCAAATGAGAACACCGCGGCCTTCATGCGGCTTGACATGAGCTGGATGGTCGCGACAGCTCGTAGTTTTCGCTCCCCGAACATGTTGGTGAAAGCTGGCCAATGGCTGACGGTCCCGGATCAGGATTGGGCCAAACACAGCCCCCTGCAGCCATGTGACCTGGTCCCGATGCACAGGACAAGAGGAGTGACCAACGGAGCGGCAAAGACATTTGGATTGCGATGCGCCACAGTAAATGTGCAGGGCCTGCAGCACAAACACTGCTACCTCGACGCACAATGGGAGAACAGTGCCCTCAACATCATCTTTGTTCAAGAGACCAAGGACTCGGAAGGTTTCACCGAGAGCAAGAACTACATGAGGTTTGCTTCCCCCTCCCAACGACATTGGGGTACAGCTATTTGGGTCAGCAAGAAGGGAGGCATCATGGTCGAGAATGATGTGCCGCTCCGTGTAGCCTCACATGATGCAAGCATCAAGTACAGTGACCCCAGATTGCTGATGTTAGAGATCAACAAAGGTGATCAAAGGATTGTGGTCTTCTCTGGCCACATTCCCCATGCTGAAAAGCATGAAGAGCGGCAGGCCTACATGAAACAGTTGAAGCAGTTGCTGAGGAACGGGAGCAAGCCAGCAATTGTTCTTGGAGGCCTGGACGCCAATGGGAGGCCCCCACCAAACTTCGAAAACACCACGGGATCGGTGGAATTCGGAGAGCCAGACCAGGCTGGGATCCAGTTTGCGGAACTACTACAGGAATGTGGCCTGTGGATCCCAAGTACCTACGAAGGGATACATCAAGGTGGCAGCGCGACATTCCAACATGCCAGTGGAAACCAACACCGGCTGGACTTCGTAGTCGTAGGTGGCAGCGCGACTATCACAAGGGCTACCAGCCGGGTTGCCACTGAAGTGGACCTTGGGGCGACCAGGGATGACCATTGGCTTTTGGAGGTTGATATTGGCGGCACCGGAGGTTCCTCCAGTGCCTCGGCTGGCCTTCAAAGGCCGAAGTACGATCGGCAGAAAATGATGTCTGCAGATGGCCAGCGAATCCTCCACCAAGCCTGGGTGAATTACAACCCGCCCCCGTGGTGGGAACACGTCGATGTCCACTGCAAACACTTGCAGGATTACATCGTCCAATGCCTCAACACAAACTTCCCGGCTGACACGCAAGGCCCCAGGGCTGCTTACATTGATGCTGAGATCTGGAAGTGGAGAAGCGCAAAGCTGCAGTTCAAACAAAAGGTCCAGCACCGGAAATACATGTGGGGGAGGGCCCTGGCTGCCAGCTACTTCCAATGGAGCAGACCAGGAGTCTGCATCGTGGTCCCCCTCCTCCAAAAAGAAGGCCTGCTATATCAGCTTGCGGCAAGCGCCATCACGATGATCACTCACCGCATCAAGCAGAGGATCTATCAGAACAAGAAGACATACCTCGAGCAGGTTATCAAGGAAGGCCCCCAGACTGCTACACGGTTGCTCCAAAGGGTTCGCAAATTTGGAGTTGGAGGACGGCAGAGCAAGCAGAGCCGTGGCCGGAAACCCTTGCCCAAGCTGTTGGACTCCAGTGGCGCAGCAGCGGCCACCCAGGCCGACCATGATGAGATTTGGCTGCGACATTTCGGGGAAATGGAAAGTGGTGAGACCCTCGACATCACCAGGTTCCTCGAAGAGAAGGAGGACGTGTCATGGCGAAATGTGGGTGTTTCATGGAAGCTCAGCGACGTCCCTACACTACAGGAAGTTGAGGACGTGCTGAGGATGGCCCCACGTGGCAAAGCCATGGGACTGGATGCCGTACCGGGCGAAGCGGTCCTTGCTTCTCCGGTGGCGGCCGCAGTCATGATCCACCCGCTCATGGTGAAAGCAGCGACATCCTTGAGACAGCCACTACAGTGGAGAGGAGGTATACTGTATGAGGCTCACAAAGGTGTCGGATCCACTGAGCTCCCCGAAAATCACCGAGCATTGTTCATATCGAGCATCCTCGGGAAGGCCTACCACCGCTGGATCCGCAACAAAACGGGCGAGCAACTCAACAACGAGCTGCATGCCATGCACTTGGGCAGCCGCAAACATGCTCCGCTGACATATGCTTCCCTCTACATCCTGGGACATATGAGAAGCTGCAAAGCCCTGTCCAGGGCTGCTGGGGTCATATTCCTGGACACAAAGGGAGCATATTACTCCATCATGAGAGAGGCAGTGATGGGAGATATTAGGCAGGATGAGACGGTGGCCAGACTGATGAAGAGGTTCAATCTCGACGCGGAGGACATGAAGGACCTCTGGGAGACCATCCGTGGTGGAGGTATCCTCCGCGAAGCTGGAACCTCGCCTGCCATTCAGGCGATGGTGTGCGATATTCATTATCGCACCTGGTTCGTCACGAAATACACAGGGGGCACCCGGTTGTCCTCGACTTATGCAGGAAGCCGTCCGGGCGAGTCCTTCGCGGACGCGATCTTCGCTTTCATCTACAGCCGTATCCTCGGCAAGGTGATCGAAGTGGCCACAGGAGAAGGTCTACTGAGTGAGGTGCAAGCGGACGTGGACGCCGGAGCCTTCGCAACACCTGCCCACGTTCGGAATGGACCTAGTGTCGTCGCCCGAGATGCCACCTGGGCAGACGACACGGCGATACCATTCGATGATGACCAACCTCGGCGACTCCTACGGAAGGCGCAACGGCTTGCGTCTTTGACCATATCCGTCTGCCAATCGTCGGGCTTACAGCCCAACATGAAGAAGGGCAAAACGACGGCCATCCTAGCCTTGAATGGCCCAGGCCGGGACAAGGCTCGAAAAGAGTTTTTCAGCCATGGCCGGTCTACGATAAAGCTCGACGATGTCGGCATGGAGTTGCCGGTGGCACCCCAATACGTCCACCTCGGTGGGGTTGTCGACATTGCCTGCAGTATGAAAGCGGAAATGAGACGTAGACTGGCCATGGCCAGTGCGTCCTTTGATGCTGGCAGAAAGCTGCTCTTTGGGAATGGCAGCATTTCGCTGCCTGTCAGAGCACAGCTGTTCAGAATGACGATCCTTGCCACCTTCTATAACTTGGCCATATGGACGACGCAGGGTGCAGCATGGCACCAACTCTCCGGTGGCTACACAAAGATCCTTCGGCGACTACTTGTACCCCAAGTTGGTGGACATGAGATCTACAAGGTCCCGGCGGTTTTCGTCCATTTAGCCACGGGATGTTGGACAATGGAACTCGAGGCGACCAAAAGCAGGATGAGCCTGCTCACGGCCCTGGCTACAAATGGGCCAGAGGCTTTGTGGGCGATGATCCAGCGAGATCAAGGGTGGCTAGAAGGTGTGAGGCGAGACTTGCAGGCCTATGCCAAGCACTACAAGGACGCGCCCGACACAACGGCAGCGGCGTGGCCGCTCTGGAAGGCCTACCTCACGGCCAATGGCAGAGCGTTCAAGTACAGGGTCAAAAAGTGGCTCCAGAAGCGCCATGAGGCAATGTGCCAGGAGGAGGTTATCACCGTTGGGCTCTGGGGCATGTACCGACAAGCCTGTCAGACTTTGCCACAGCTACATGCCCAAGAACAACGATGGAGCTGCCGAAGTTGCAAAAGACAGTTCAAAAGCAAAGGGGGCCTTGGGGCCCACATGTTCAAGACCCACGGCCGTACTGCAGCATATCGAAAGTGTCTGCAGGGGACCAATTGCCTGGCATGTGGCAACCAGTACTGGACATCGGCTCGATTAGCAACACACCTCCGGGACAATGCCGCCTGTGTTCGAATCCTCCTCAGCCTCGGACTTACGGTCAAGAGTATCCAGCCAGGCAAGGGTAGCAAGCTTGGACGCCAGAGGTATGTCGAGGAGTACAACCTGGCCCCAACTACGAATGATGGAGGCCCCCTTGAGGCTGGAGATGGGGAGACTTGGACAGAGACCGTCGATGCAGCCTATCGGGCACTCTGTGAGGACCTACAAAGTCGTGAGAACTGGGAGACGGAGAAGCAGGTCGCTTTGGCGGTCATCGAGTGCCTGTGCCAGCACCCCCTATACTATGAGGAGGAGATCCAGGTTGTCGAGAAGGCGGACGTCGAGCTGCTCTGGGAGAGTGACCCGAACGATCCGTGGACGCGTCCTTCCTACGAGAGCCTGCGAGCGGCCCTCAACGATCCTACGCGATGGCTCCACCCTTTTGCAGCGAGCAATATCGAGGTGGACAACAACGACAGATCCTACGCGGCCTTCAAAGAGGGGGTCGGAGAAGAACAGTGGAAAGGGCTTTTGACGGCCCTGAGGACGAAGTGCGGGACCCCGACAAGTGAGCCCTACAACCTGGACACAGCTTGGGAAGCATTAGGGGCTGTGTACAGTGGCGATCAGGTCGCTAATGCCGCGCTCACCGATCCACTGTGTTTTGTTCCCAGAAGCATCGTCCAGCTATGGCAAGCTGCTAGTACAGGGCAGGTCGATACTGTTATAGCTCCTGACGACTTCTGGAAGAGCCAATACGGGCCAGCATTTGCTGCGTTCCGGGCTTGTATGCAACCCTAATTAGCGCAGCGTACACCTCTGAATGCCTCGAAATGAAATATACCACAAGTTATAATAGGATCCCTAATATGATTTTAAGGTATATTCCTTAATTAAGTGGTTTTGGAGGCTCTGGGGGGTTCAGCCTGAGTCTCCATGCGCCCATGTAGTATGTGTTTCGGCACTACTCTGAGGCCTAGGTGTATACTATGTTATAGGTACATAGGTTGACTCCAATGGACGAAGCATGAACCCTAAACCCCTAAACCCTATTCCCAACACATGGGCCCAAGATGTTCCTTTAAGCCCTAAACCCTAAACCCTTAAACCAAACCCTCAACCCCCAAACCCTAACCCCTAAACCTCTATACCCTTGCCAAAGAGCCCAATACCCCTTAATTAAGGAATACACCTCAGATCTAAGGTGTATTGCTTAATTAAGGGGTATAGGGCTCTTTGGGTGTAACCTAAACACCGGCAAACCACGATCCCAGGCGCCCCCTCCTGGATTGGCTCGACAGCTCGAGGACGAGGATGAACTGGGCCCTTGTTGACCTAGCTGATATTACGATGATGAGGATCTATTTTTAGCTTCAGGTGCCAAAATAGGGATATCCTAGTGGATTATATATGGTTTCCTTATTGAAAGCCTTATTTGTCAACATTTAATTTACATTTCCTTTCTTCAGAAGAACCCAGTGTAGTGCGATGTGTACGTTTCTCCGACTAGGGGGGGGCTATTTTATTCGTGGGGGATTCGTTAAAGTCCCCAGCTTGCCGATACGCTTACAATGACCTTCGGAGGTACTCCAAGCGATCTAGGTATCACATGGGATTTGTCCCCTGCCTAGCTTGGTGTGCTTTCAGATTTAGGTTGATAAGCGATTGACATGCGTACCATTTGCGGCGGTTTCAAGTAATGCCGTGTCCAAGATGGATGACTTGAATACTTGAGTTTTGTCGTTCTGCACCTTGCGTGTTCCCACTTATGCCTTGTTGCCGTGGCTTTGCAGCGTGAACTTTCGAGCGCCCCGTTAGAGAGGCGGAGGCAGCTGCAAACAGTACTGAGGACAATCGTTTAGGGGTTTGGGGGTTTAGGGTTTAGGGTTTAGGGTTTAGGGTTTAGGGTTTAGGGTTTAGGGTTTAGGGTCCAGGTTCGCGATGTTGCACCTGTTACCTCAAAAAAAGCATGCCAACACGGGTTTGCCAAAGTACCTATATAGGGACTTTGGTGCCCTTACTCGAGTGCCCCTCTTGTAGTACTCATACTGCATTGCAAACGGGGCCTAAGTCTTGCACCCGGCGAAGCAAGAAGGGTCTATACGGCCTAGATCGTCACCTCAGCTGCAGCATGACCGTAAAGTAAAAGCCAGAAAGTTGGAATATGATTATCCTAAGCCCTGTATGGTAAATTATAAGGTATCCTACCCTGAAACCATATTCCAACCTTCTGGAGTTCCCTGTAAGCTTTGAGCTGTAGACTCCTTGTCTTAAACCGAAGCCTGTGAAGCCTGAGCTCGCATACCAAGCCCTGAGCCCTTAAACCGTATAGCCCTAAACCCTCATGTAGGAAACTGAATAAGAAACCTTGGGCCTAAGGGTTCCTTTAAAGGGGTCTATAAGGGATACTATAGGGGGTCTATAAGGGATCTATAAAGGGTTTAGGGTTTAGGGTAGGAACCTGATTAAGAAACCTTGGGCCTTTATTAGGGCTCCTTATATGAATCCTACTATTCTGGGGTTATCGGCACAGGCTTTCTTAATCAGGTTCCTACATGAAGCCAGGGAAGCTCGCCCCTTCGAAGTGCGGGTTCTGGAGGAGGCGCCCGTCGATTCTCCAGCCGCCAGCAGCTCTGAGCAGGAAAGCCATGGGTAAAGCCTGGGAGCCAGGGTCTAGGACACCCGAGCCTGACTACCGTGGTATTGTACTACCGATGTAAAGCCTAACATACATGTACGTATATTCTGCTGCCCCCTCATGTTCTGCAGTCTGCATGTTACATGTCGGGAGTTTCGATGGTGAAGGTCTCTCTTAGGCCAGGACATTTATGTAAAGCTTGACCTCAAGGCCTCGTTGAGCCTGAACTGGTTACGGTAGCATGAGAGGTGCGAGTTCGGACTCAGAGATCGCTTGTGTTCGTGTGTCGGGATGGGAGCTCATTTAGGGTTCAGGCCTTGTTTGGGATTTAGTTTCCATGGTTTTGGGTTTTGGTTTTTGTCGAGTTGAGGCTGTGAGAAGTTCTCGAGGCTGCCTATTTCAATAGGATAATGTCCGACCTTCGCCCCGTACACCTAGCCCTAAAACCCTCCTGCATCTACAATCCCGCGCAAAGTCCGCAATCTCAACAGCGCCGCTCTTGAATCGTGAGCCTCCTGGCCCCGACCAAGCGGTCCTAAACCCGAAAGCCTGAACTCTGAACGGTCCCAAATCCTCGACCCGAAAGCCTGTAAGCCAGAGTCGCCAGGGTGGTCCGGCACCTGCAGCTGCTGAGGACTTCTTCACAGATCGTCGATTGTCTCTGAGCTAAGGACTGTGTATATATATATACCCTACGTTATGTAAGGACTTCTATTAGGACTTCTATTATGATTAAAGTGGTTCCCTAAGTTCTTTCTTAGGACTCTCATCATGATTTAAGGAGTATTCCGTATGTTAGTCATATTGGAAGATCTCGGCCTGCAACTTTCCAAAACTGTGGAGGGTTGGGCTAGGTGCTTCGGGGTTTAGGTAGGGCTTAGGGTTTTCGGGTTTCGGGCTTAGGGTTTTAGGACCGTACAGCCTAGGCTCTAAGCCGTGGCTCTACCGTGTTGTGGGTTGAGGGTCGACCCATTGGGGTCACCCATGTGCAGCATAGAAACAATTGCCAGTATTATCCCCTTCGGGTTCCGTAATATGTGTCTATACATATATATATATATATATATATATATATATATATGTATGTATGTATGTCTGTATGTATGTATGTATGTATGTATAAAAATGTGTGTGTGTATATGTGTATATATATATATATATTTTTATACTAATATAGTATAATATACATACACATATGTATATATATATATATGTGTACAGAATATCACATACCCCGAAAGCCCTGGCCCTATTCTCACTGTGCAGCCTTGCCCCCCTCCGTATTGTAGACCCCTTTTAAGGAAACCTTTCAAGGAACCCTCTCAAGGAACCCTATTATTCAAATTAATAAGGCGCCTACATATATATATATATATATGTGTGTATGTATGTATGTATGTATATATATATATATGTATATCTGCATATTAGCTGTTTGAAAGAGTTGGCCGGGTGCCATGTTAGACGCAAGCGAACAGGGACTCCTCGACTCCCGCGCTATGGGGGGGGCTGCATGCTTAGAAACATTATTTTCAAATACAGAAGTATATAACAGTAGTCAGGGAATAGTTAGGAATAGTACTGACATCTAATAAACATCAGTAGTATAATATTAGTCATAGCAAAAGTAATTGCGCTGAAGTCAAAGTTATTCGTGTTATGAGCATACTGCTCGATGTAAATATGCTAAGACATACACCCAAACCCTATTCTAATTACGAGCCCTATATTATATCGATTTGTCGAACCGGGCATGCAGATCCATACGTTTTGAGTTTTAGGGCTTTGTAGTCCTACCATAATCCTAGCTTTAGCTGCTGGGCCAGCAAGCTCATCAACTAGGCCAAATCCCAAAGCCAAACGGCTCTTGAAACTCGGGGCTTAAATAGTCCGCGGCTTTGGCTTTCCGGAACCGCCGCCAACTTTCTTGATTTCTGTCCTTTGTCTTTCGATGGGCGAGTTATAAGCTTTGCTCGCAATGTCTTGAAGCTCGGCGGTTTAGGAGCATTCAGGTCTGTTTTGTTTGTTTTCCCATGTTCCGCTTGGCCACAAAAAGGGTGAAACAATATCCTGGTTCTTACACCCGGACCACAAAAGCCTTGAACCTGCAGGGAGCACTGAGTGCTTTGCCCAGTTCCTAACGAGCGAATGCTACAAACAAAAGAGAAGTGTCTCAGGAGTTTTGTTGGGTAGCCTTGCTGCCTAGAGTGCCCAGTACATTGAAATTGGAGCATGTAGCGTAAGTAGACAGCATCTAAAGCCCCATATAACACAGGGAGTGCCTAGGTAAAGTGGTTCATCACAGGCTATCCCTAGCCCTAAACCCCTAAACCTTCAAGCCCTTAAACCCTAAACCCCTAACCCCAATAACCCCGGAGCACTGACGGCAGGACACCCCGCAGTTTCGCGAAGGTAACGTGGAAGCGAAGTTGTGCTCCGACTCCGACCAGGAGAACCGCAATAATGTAGGGGCTCAAGAATTATACCAATTCTATTTTGGGGGTTCCTTGTTTCACTATGAATTAATAATGGGCCCCAAACCCTATTCTAATTATTAAGGTCCCTATAGTAACCCTGTAAAGGCCACGGTCAGGTTGTCAAGGGCGATCGTGAGACTGAGTCTGATGCTGATAATCCTGTTTGTACTGGTAACCAGTACGGCTGCTTGTGACTGATCGTGCTGCTGCAATAACAACTACGACGAATACTACTACTACTACTACTACTACCACTACTACTACTACTACTACCACTACTACTACTACTACTACTACTACTACTACTACTACTACTGCTACTACTACTACTACTACTACCCCTACTACTACTACTACTACAACTACTACTACTACTACTGCTACTGCTACTGCTACTACTGCTACTACTACTACTACTGCTACTACTACTCCTGCTACTACTACTACTACTACTACGACGGAGGAGGAGGACAGTAGGGCGACGATTATTACCATTACCGCTTCCGCTGGTACTGCTGCTACTTTTTGCCGGTTAGTACGACGGAGGAGGAGGACAGTAGGGCGACGATTATTACCACTACCGCTTTCACTGGTACTGCTGCTACTTTTTGCCGGTTAGTTCGACATCAACTACCACTACGGCTTCTCGTGCTACCATGTTTATTACCACCGCGTCTTCTACGTTTTCTACCGCATCAGAAGCAACGGTGTCTCTGCATATGTGTTTGAGTTTTCTTTGTGCGTGTCCCGTCCTGTAGACTTGGTCTAGGTTGTCATCGAGTGGGCCTGGGGGGGTGCTTAGGGCTTTCCAGACGGCATCATGCGCGCTCTGGGCGATACACAATTCCCCTCGGCTCCAGGCGAGGGCCCCACTAGTGTCCACTCATAAAGTTACAGTTAATCTGTATATAGTCACCAATATCTTGACAAAGATATAGTTTCTAGGCGTCTCTCTATAAGAGCTGCAGAAGACCAAGCTCTGAACCGTGCTTCTTTAGGTGTGTGCTGCCCGAAGGGCTTCCGAGAGATCGAACGATGGGGGTATGGAATGGGAGATCCCGCATGTCTAGACAATGGAGGAAGAAACCATATGTGTATATATATATATATCATATTATATACAGACACATCCGCACCATAGTAGGGCATCACACCATACTGGCGTGTATTTGTGGCGGTATAGTCTTACCAACGGTCTTTTCTGTGCGTATGAAGCTACAGAAATCACACACTACAAACATGCCCAAAGATCCAAGTGGGCAATACGACCACGGTACTAAGCATTCCACATGACGAAAGTACAAGGAGTTACAGCAGTTTCGCCACCCGCTGTGGGGATCGCTGAACCGTTTCAGGAACCCTTATTATAGGGATCCTAAGATGATCCCTTGTAGGAGCCTTTATAAGCATTCGTGATACGAGCGTCTGTAGCAGGAGAACGAGGAGCAGCGCGACGTCTTCAGGGACTGGTTCGTGGCTGTCAAGAGCCCCTGCTGTAAACAGGGTTTACAGTTTAGGTTGAGTGTGGCTGAAGATAGTGCAGGGGGACGTTGCTTTACAGGAGGTTATCGTGTTTTACAAACATTTTCTACAGGGCTTCATTAGGTTATTCGGGTGGTTGAATATAGGGGTCTGAAGAATCAACACTACCAAGCCGTTAGTTCCAGCAACATACATATACTAGTTACTAGAATGTTCAAAGCCCTTGTTTGATCATTGGACCCTGTATTCCCATGAGGGTCGCAGGTTGGAGTGGCAAAAGGAGAGTGGCTCTGACAATCTTCCCGTGAGCAAGGAGTCGTTTGCTTAAGTTCTAGAGTCTGGGGTTAAGCCCTAAACCCCAAACCCTAAATGCAGACTTGGGACATGTAGACATGGGCTTGAGGATGCCCGCGCCGGGTCTACGCTGAAGCGGGTTTGGGACTTGTGGTGGAGGGTTTCGGGCAACAAGGAGCACCGTGATCCGGTTCTACTACTTAGCTGAAATGCCAGCCCATACGCAGACTAGACCCTCTAAATTATAGACCCTCCAGCAAAGTGAGAAACAGCAGCCAAAAGAAAGATACCGACACAAAGCGAAATTACCACCTGTTTTATCTGAATACAAGTGTGTATGTCACCCGAGGCCGACAAGCTTTCGACTCCAAGACGGAAACGGTTTAGGAGTTCAGGACCCGATTTTCATGTCTGACATTTCGCGATAGTTCTTCCAAAGTTCTGGGGGTTTGTCCCCCCCCCCGCCCGCCTCCGCCCCGTCGCCAAACCCTAAACTTCGACCCTGCAATCTGTCAGCTTGGACCCTATAAGCCCGTCTAAACCCTAAACGTCCAGCTATAAGTTGCAACATCCCCATAGGGTCCAAGTATCATTATGGTATATACTTAGACCCCCCAAAATACTGTATAGGTATATACCATAATGATACTTGGACCCTTTGGGACCAAGGAACACCTTCATCGACGTGATGGACACCGGTTCTGAAGCCAGCCGCGACTGGGCCTCTCGTGCCAAGACGGAGCCTCCGGGTGCGGGGCTCAATGCTTAGGGACCCCAAACAGATCATAAGATCATACAAGCATAAGCATTTGACAGGGACTTCCTTACCTTATGGGACTTCATTATAAAGGGGGTTTATATGGGATATCCACATCCTTGTTTTTGCCTATGTGTGTTTTTTTGGGCCCTAAATGCTGAAGCTTGACATGGGGGGGGGCCCTCACTTAAGGGTCACTCTAAAGGGTTGGTGTAGGGGTCTTCTACAAGGGATCCATTACAAGGGTTCTATAATACAGAGGCTCTCATACTAGGAATAGGGCTTTGGGGAATATTCTGGTATGCTATACGATGGTCATCAAAAATGGAGCCAAACACTATAAGAGGGCAGTGTTAGCACGTTTTCTTACACAGGACCCCGTACTTCTTTTGGACATGCTATCGTATGGCATAGACATCTTGAAGTTGAGAGTTGAATGATGTAAAGTTTAGGGGTTTGGATGAAGAGTGTCAATCGCAAGGGCTTGTTTTCCAGAATCCCCGACAATGCTTCATCGGGACCGGGACCCTTATACCCCAAAGGTGGGCAGCTGCGGTTGGCACACAAGGCGAAGGTCATCCGTATGAAGGCGAGGGGTGCGAGTGTTAGGGCCGGCATGCATGCGCCCCACGTTGGTTTGCTGCCACGGCTGAATTTGTTTGCCCACGCATACATCCCAGGCCCTAAACCTTTAACCCGGAATGCGCAATATACCGCAAAATCCCAAGTTGTGGGCCTCTGCGAGGTTTGGAGGGACTCGAATCTGGTTTTTCGTGGCAAAGCACCAAGAACTTAGATACTGAATCCAAGTTCACTGCTAAGATTTAGCAGGGATTTAGGGTTTAGGTGGGCTCCAATTTCTTACCACGCCTATTCAGCCCCCGCCTGAGTGTTTGGGTTACATGGCCCCCCGAAAACCCAGCCTGCCTTTACAAGATTTCTCATTGCGTACAAGATTTCTCATTGCGATTCCCGTTTGAAAAAGTCCGCAAAAAGGTAGGTTAGTTAGGTGTCAAGGTAAACCCGGGGGACCTGAGCATGAGCCTTCACCAAACTCTGAGGTGCAGACTTGGCTTCAGATGTTGCATCGCGAAGGCACAGACAGAGAGATGATTCCGGCCATTGTCAAGGAACTGAGCGATTGTCTGGAGAAAGTTGCGAACAACGATCCGGACCTTCACGAGCTGCAGCCCCTGAAGCAAAAAGCCGTTGAGGCGGTCCGCTCTGTCCTCGTAGGCGGAAATCTGTGCCTCGGAGGCGGTTCTGACAGAAGGGAGTATGCATTAGACCACTCGACTCAGGCAGATGACCTGTATCCTGGACCACTAGTTAGGTGTACGGAAACCCGTGTAATCATTCTACATTCTTGACCCCCGAAGCAAGAAGCCCAGAAAAGAAGCCCAGAAAACCGAATTGCTGACTTATACACCTAAAAAAGCACTTCCAAAATTCTGCAGTGGATTGGATATATATATATATATATCCCACTCGAATGGCCTGGGTTCGCGGAGTAGCCGAGGAACACCTACAGCGATCGGTACACGGTCGCCTGGGAGCTGTGCAGCCTGCAGGGAACTGCTTTCCCGTCAACGGACCTCGGTGGGGAGGACTCCGGGTCTTCGTGTTGTGTAGAATAATAGACTTTGTCTTTACAGGTGTTGGGCCAATATTTTACCTACTTTTGTGGGTGTAGGTAAGGCTTCTATATGGGCCCGATTGGGGCCAGGGTTCTCGCAGGGTTCAGGGCTTTAGCACTGGATGTCCAGGGTCTCTGCATGCAGGGAGTCGTCCTTCAGGTGCAAGACTCTAGGCTCGAAGGACGCCGTAATCGAGTCTACATGTAAGAAGTGGAGCTATACCCTAAACCTTAAACCCTAAACCCTAAACCCCTATGATAAGCCAGTCGCCGCTTCATCCGACGGGTTTTTGGAGTTGAGATTATTCTTCGAGGTTTCTGGTTCGGTTTAGGGTTTAGGGTTTCTTGTTCGGGTTAGGCACTTGATGATTTGTGGGTTGCCAATTTTCTGTTGAAGGTATCGGGAATCGAAGTAGACTTTTGTTTTAGGGTTCTGCTGTCGTTGTCCCAGTAATTAATATGGGACTTTCCGAAAATAGTGGACCCTGAAATAGTACCCTACATAAGGCACCCCCCCAATTGTCGGAAACTGCCACATGTTTCAACAGGGGTATCTTATGAAGTCTATCGCCTTGCTAGTCTTTGGCTCAAGAATCCAAGGCAAAACAAAACCCCGAAGAAGCCTGCACCTTGGTGCCCTTACATGGGCGGTTGTCGATATTATGGTCCCTTTTGGGGTCCTTATTATAATACGGCACCTGACATTTAGGGTACCCAAACAGGGACCATAATTTTGAGAACCACCCATATACAGTAGAAGCCCAAGTGTTGGAAATCCAATAATTAGCTTCAACCGCTAAGAGCACTAAATCCCAGCACCCAATCCGGTTTCCGACTCTATAAGGTCTACTGTATTGTGTGTTCTCCTTGCAACTGAGGCTGAGAAACTCAATAGTGCGAGAAGAAGAACGCTTATTTTTCAGGGGAGTGCTGCGCGCCGGGTATCACTAAAGTTCACTAAAGGGAACTCCAGAAAGTTGGAATATGGTTTCAGGGTAGGATACCTCATAATTTACCATAAAGGGCTTAGAATAATCATATTCCAACTTTCTGGCTTTTACTTTAGAGGTGAGGCGGCACAAGTCTGAAAACCCGAGTGGCCTTGAACCACCCGATTCCAGAAACTCTGAACTCGAAGCATTAGGCAGGGATGCCAAATATCTCGCGAATCCCCCGAAACCCCAAAGGCTGAAGCCCCCCTGCTCACTCCTAAGATACCTATCCGACGCAATACATAACACATAAATAGACATATATATATATATATATATATATATATATATATATATGTATGATATATATATATATATATATACAAATATATATATATATATATATATATATATATATATATATATATATCTATATATATATATATATACATGTATGTATGTATGTATGTATGTATGTATGTATGTATGTATGTATGTATGTATGTTTGTGTATGTATTTGTATATGTATATGTATATGCAGATGTAGATGTAGATGTAGATGTAGATGTAGATGTAGACGTAGATGTATATGTATATGTATATGTATGTATATATATATATATATATATATATATATATATATATGTATATGCATATATGCATATCCATACACACATATATATATATATATATATATGTATATATATATGTACATATATATGTAGAAAGCTAGAACATGTTAACACCCAACATATCCACACAGACATACCAACCGGGACGCACGGGTCGACAGTGGTACAACAACACCCAGGCCAATAGAGTTTGAGGCACGAAAGGCAGTCATTTAGAGGGCCGGTACCCAACTATCTGAAAAAACCCGTAAACGCTTCCAATTTTTGTCCAGGCAGAGCTGTCCGAGCTACAGGCAGAGATTTGGACAGACTACCTAGCCTGGATGGACGAGAACCACTGGTCCTTTGGCTGATTCACACTTCTTTGGGTTCCTGGTTGCAAATGCACTCCAAGATACTCTAATGATTACTCAAGGCCCCTGTAACTGTAAGGCTTTCAACGAGCATAAGAGAATCAGGTCAACTCGTTTGGTGCTTCGGGGTTTAGGGATCGGCACGTGCGGTTTTGATACTAAGTGTTTACCCGTACCTCCGAAGCTTTGGGTAGGCCATCTCGTTTACAGTAGCAGCCAGAACGCTTGAACATCGTTGTTCTCATGCCCTTAAGGTAACGTAGAGGGAATTCCGCCACTAATCGTCCTGAATCAATGTTCCAACTTTCTGGGGTTCTATATATACACATGGATATGAGTGTATATGTGTATACACACTGAATACACACATATACATATATATATATATATATACATGTATGTGTGTGTAGGAGCCGAAGACTATACTGGAAAGGGATTCTAAACCCACAAAACATGGCCTTTCATAAACCCTAGAAGCCCTGAAACCCGAACACCCAAGCTCAAAATCCGAAAACCTTGAAATGTCTGATCCTACTAACACACCAAAAGTTAGACTCCTACACCAGGCCCTCCCCGATATTCTTTTCTGGGCTCGACAAAAGTGGATTTGGGGGCACAGGGGGGAAGGAGTAAGGCATGAACCCCAAACCCTGAGCCGTCTATAAGCCCTCATGTGCAAATCGGGCTCAAAAGATTCTCATTGATCTGGAAGTGGGTAGTGTTCACGCGGCATATGCGAAGGCCCAAGACGATTCAGCCTGAGGGCTCAGGGTTTAGGGTTGAGGATATCGGTTTGCGTTGCTTTGTTCGTTGCAGGCTCCTTTCCAACCGCCTTAATCGCAACCCCAGGTTGGAGGGTTAGGTTGGGCTTCACGATTGGGGTTTTCGCCAGTGCTCATGAAGCGTTTCAAGTACACGTACTTCCTTGAGACTCACTCCGCCGTAACACTGCGATAAACTGCAATAGCTTCCGACACAGCATCACCCCGGAAATCACACACGACACATCCAACATGGCACACCCCCCCACCCCCCACAACGCCGAACCGAAACTGATTGGCTCCAAAGCCTGTGGTGATGCCAGCGCTTGTACCACCTCCAGCCTGAACTGTAAGCTGGAACGCTAAGGGTCCAGGCACCCAGACAGCATATACTTTGGCCTCAACATACCTGTATAGGGAGTACTCTGAGGCCAAGGAGTAAGATACTAATTGGTCACATGAACCCTTTCGGGTAGGCACCAACAAACAACGCCTTACACCAGCCCTTCCTAAACCCAAAAATCACAAAATCCCACAGGCTTGAGGTCTTAAATTCGAGCCTGGGGGTTTGCGGCAACCCTAAAGCCTACACACCCTAGCTACTCAGGCTCACGGAGAGCTTCAGCCGTCCTGAAAAAGTCGTCAAGGACACGATTGACATGAGCGCAAAGGCTCAAGTTCAGGGACAGCCTTCAGGGTTGAGCGATTGTTGCTTTAGGGTATAAGGGCGGTACTTATGTACAAGTGGCACCACAAAACGCCGAGGCGTTTAGCGGTGCAGCACATCCAACCTGTCATGTTTTGTTTTTTTTCGCACCCTTTGGTCCTTGAACTCCCGCTTCATGACTATCCGGCCTCCTGTGGGCTGGTGGGGATCCTGGTCCTCCAGATGTCCGTCTGTTGATGGACAAAATCCTGCATGACCCATTATAAGGAATATACCATAATTCCCATAGTTTAGGGTCCTTAAGGCAATGCAGGATTTTGTCCATCAACAGTTGGGGCCCTTTGAGGGGGCCTTCCAAAGATTGGGGATCGGAAACAGCAGAGCATGTCCTATTGTAGGGGCAGCGATTGTCTTGGGGCCGACTGCACACCTAGACCCGGAGCAAACTGTCAAATGGGCTGCAGGGTTTGCTGTTTTGTGGCTTGAGATGGCAAAGTTTGATGAGTGGCGGTTTAGACAATTGTCCATTGAGTTTGTGTGTTTCGATCGCGCGTATGTGTAGCCGATTGAGACGGATGCTTTGTTTGCGTAGGATATCGCCGGGTGATCGCAACGTTCTTGAAATTCGAATACACAATAGTCACGAAGGTGAGCCATTGCGTCCTGTCCGTGTCCGTGTTGTTATCACAGTTTTGATTGTGGGAAACCGCGCAATTCACTCTCCAATTGCACCACTCTCCATTCCTCCCTGGATTCTTAAGCCCATGGGTTTACTTGGACGACGGCTCTGCAAAAGTCCTTTCAAGCTCCGGGAGTTTAGCCCCGATGAATGCCTATTTGGTATATTTCCCTAAGGCTCCATGTGCTCATATAGTATATACATTGGCCTTAATGTAGTCCCTATATAGGTACATTGGGGCCCATGTATCTCTATATGGGTACATGGACCCTTAGAGGTTGGTGCTGCCCTGAAAGGCCATCGATCGACAGCTCGAGAGAGCCAAGAATATCACCATCTCGGTCATGAAGGCTACCGTCAAGCTGATTTGCACCTCGGCATAATGAGTACCTGGGGCTCCTGCCCCTCGTAGGGGTTCATTAAAATGGTTCTTGCCCTTTTTCTCGGTAGTCAGACAGATAATGATATCGACAGCGAAGACGATGTCATGTACATGTTTCAAGGCTCGGGCATGGATGTACACTCAGCTGAAGATGATCTTGAGCACGAGCTTAAGACTTAGGCAGGGACGTAGCATGATGTCACACGGGGCGATACTTTTGGTTTGAATGAACACAACTATAGGGCTGGTGCTGGTTCTGATGCCAGTGCTGTCGACGCTGCTTCTCATGGTAATCGTGATGCTAGGGTTTAGGGTTTAGGGTTATGAAGGGAGGCAGAGGAGGTGCGGCAGCAGAGTGGCAGGAGCATGCAGCACACCTCACGTTACACCACTCCCAGAGCCTTACACGACCCGTCGAGATCCATCAGCCCAACACATCATATGCGGAGGCAACTTTGCGCAAAGCTTCTCCGATGAGTTCGTGGAAAGCACTGGAGCTTGGATCTTGAAGCAGCTTGGTTTCGAGTGATTGTTGGGCTCGGGAGCTGAACGGTGCGGTTTTCGGATCCTGCTAGGCCTCTCGTGTCGCTTCGGCTGCGCTGTTCGGGGTCACAGGGCTAAGTTTTGGTTCAGGGTATAAATCTTGACATGGCTTGGCGTTGTCGGGCTTACTGGATTCAACGTGTGGTGGCCAGGCTGGTTGCGTACCTCTTGGTCACAACTCCAAGGCTGAACGCTCCAAAACATTGGGATTGTAGCTTTCAGGGCTTTAGGGTTCAGGGGGATTTGAGGCTCGTGATAACAACAAGACTACGAACGGCAGTAGATGCAAGACAGGGTGGCGGGTGGCAAAGGCAAGAAAAAAGCAGAGTGGCTACGACAAGTCTACTTACTTCGTCTGCCCAAATCCAAAACTGAAGACCCCCGCAATGCAGCTGAAACCCCAAGTCCCAATTCCTGACTCCTAAACCCTAAGGGCCCACCCATATAGAGATACATGGGCCCCGATGTACCTGTATAGGGACTACATTAAGGCCAATGTATATACTATATGAGCACATGGACCCTTAGGGAAACCTAGACCCGAAACGCCAGAATGAGGCTATAGCTTCTACCCCGGTTCCTGACCCGAAAGGCCTGAAGCCGAAGCTTAGCAAACTTGGCAGAGACCGCATAAAGCATATTATGCTGCAGAACCGAGAAGAACATGCATAAATGCATGCATGCATGCATGCATACATACATACCTACATGCATACATACATAGCTATGCCCATAATTACGTACATACATACATACATACATACATACATACATGCAGTATACATGTATACATGCATGCGTTCATTAATGTATGTGTATACATGTATGCATATATACATACAGATGTATATGTGTAGGTGCATATAATATATGTATGCGTCTATAGAGTCTATATGTGTTTGCTTACCTTGTTTAAACGTCGGTATACGCCTGCAGGTACATATCTATACATTATATATATATGCATACATATATACATATATACATATGTATATATATATATATATATGTATATCCATATATGTATACATATATGTGTGTGTCTGTGTTTGTATATGCATACATAACTGTTTCGTATTTCTATCGATCCATCTATCTATCTACATACCTACCTACCTATCTAGCAATCTGCCTATCTATCTATCTACTGAATCTATCTCACTGTCTATATTTCTATATATCCATCTGTGTCTCTGTCTCCGTCGTCATCTCTATGTCTGTCTTTTCACGTTTACTTAAATATAACTGTAAACCTATACTTACACATTTATATATTCATATGCACGTCTAGAATACGAATGTAGTCCGTTGTGTAGGTAATATACATACTATCTATATATATATATATATATATATATATATATACATATATATATATATATATATATATATGCAATGTCACAGAATATTTTGTATATCACGTTTCTATACATGCACTGTATAGCCAGTAATCTGTAATTACGACGTCTGGACCGGCCAAGGCAGATGCGGGATCTCTACAATGACCAGTGGAGCGTCGTGTCTCTCGGCTATGCACTGTTCAGGGTTTTAGTATTTAGGAAGTTTCCGAAAATGGGGTACCTTGTTTGGGGGTCCTTATAATAAGCATCCTTCTATTTTTGGTACTATATTAGGGTCCCCTATTTTCAGAAACTCCAATTTAGGGTTGAGGGTTTAGGCGGATGTTGGGGTTTAGAGAACACGGACCAGCATGCTTGCGAGCTTCAAGTTGCTTTGGACTGCTTCCTTCAATTTCCGCACAGAGTACACATTTGGCCGAGACCCTTTTGAATGTCGTTAGGAAATAAACTCTGACTTTCTTCAGGCCCTTCAGCCTCTGTACGGTCCTTGCTACAGTTACAGTATGCTCCTGATTGATCTGTCTCCAAAGCGCTCGAGCAGAAGTACCACTTAAGACTTAATATTCCTCAGCCCGCATCTGCATCAAGTAACGCACCCTAAACCCTCATATAGTTTGGAAGCCTGACTAATTTCCAGAGCTATTCTTCTGGGTTAATCATCGCACTTACAATGTATACGATACCCCGAAACCTGGTTCTAGTTATTGAGGCCCCTATTGCAAGCCCTACAGCCTTCAAGCTTAAACTCCAAACCCAAAACGGTTTAGCGTTGAGGGTTTAGAGTTCGAAGCAAGCAGGCGAGAGCACGCCATCAGAGGCTTCTGTGCTTTGTTCCGTTACAAGGACTGCCTGGTGGGGCGGTTGACCTTTTTCGGTCACGCATTGGCATAACCTGGACGGCGGTTTGCATACGTCTAGAAAAATGTATTTCAAACGTGGCATCTTCCTCCTGAATAATGTGCCGTCGTGAACCATGGTTTCCTGGTCATGACACATTCAAGTCCCAGGATTTTCCGTCAAGACGCCGAGTGCGTTTGTCTGGGGTTTAAGCCTTGTGCTCTGAAATCCCTGGATGTTTCGAGCCGCTCGCATACCTATCCAAGCAGTCGTTCTTTATAAGACCTCCTCGGCGCGATCCTAACTTGAGCAAGCCCGGGTCCCTGAACCCTCAACCTCCGAGTTCAGAAGACCCTAACCCTTAGTAGCTGAGTGGATACACTTTGCACTTTCGGGGATAATATTACCCACTGCAAAACCGAAAGTGTACACTTTTTGAGGGCTTACCGTACGAACTCAGCAACTAAGAACTACATTCCCAGAAACCCAACTCACGGGTCTGAACCCAAAGTCGAATCATGGTTTGCGCTAGAGCAACTCAAGCCGGTACAATTGGGTGCAGGGCTGTAGAGTTTGGTTCGGGGTTCATTTATAAGTTAGGATAATAGGGTTTACGCTGAGGCTAAACAAGGAACCGAGGAACCCTATAAGCCCAAAAGGCTTGAAGGAACCCTACCTGGACCCCCAGAGTATGTAGAATAATAGCCTTTTATAACTATTTTGGGGCGTTATTTTAATTACTTTTGGGGTTCTAGGTAATTAGGCCCAAAAGGCTTGAAGGAACCCCCTATAAGCCCAAAAGGAGCATCGCGAGATCTTCGGCGTCCCCTTGGAGGCCAGCGCCATGTCAAAGCTCCTCCGCGCAACACGAAGATACAAACCAGGGCTACGGTCTGTATGCATATATATATATATTTATGTATATACATACTATTTATCTTTATGCATATATATATATACAAAACATGGATATTCTGCGGTATGTGTATGTATATATATATATATATATATATACACACATGCACTATATAGTTCTGTCTATGTAAATGTATATGTATATGTGTGTGTGTGTGTCTGTATATACACACACACCGAGATCTCTCGCTCTCTATCGCTCTCTCTCTCTCTCTCTCTATCTCTCCTCTCTGCCTCTCCCACTGCTCGCACATGCATACGTGCATGCATCTGTTGTTGCTTGCACCGTGTGTATGTTTGTTTTCATGTACACATACGCGCTCAGTTTGAGCCAGTGCAATAGGGGAGTTTCCGAAAATAGGGGGCCCTAATATAGTCCCTAATAGTAGGATCCTTGTTATAAGGAGCCCCAAATAAGCAATTTTCGGAAACTCACCTATAGTCTTGCTTGGGAATGCATGTGGTGCCGAGATGAACAAAGGCTTATCCTAGCTTGTCATGACTCTTAAAGAGCCTGTCGCTTCGCAGTTCGTGGTAATAGACATCCGACCCGACACCTTGATCCCTAACCTTAAACTCCAAGCCCCAGTCTTCCAGGCTTTTGGGCTCAACCATACTGGTATTCCAACTGTAAAGCGGAGGACAAGAACCGTCAACAAAAGAGAACTAGAACAAAGCCAGCAGCCTGGGCAAATGGTGGGGTCCGTACCAAGGTGCTTCCGGGATGATGTCGAACAGCTCGTGGAGGACGGATGAGTTTCTTGCTTTCTTATCCTCCTAGGACCCAGAGTAGGCCCTTATTCCCTTTTTTAGGGTTCAGGTTCCCTTATAAGCCCCTTAGAAGCAAAAAGGGCACCCTTTTTAATTATTCCTAGGTTACTCTTGGGTTTAGCCTCCCCTCTGCTGGAAGATCCCAGGAAGGGCTCCCTTTCAGCTGTACTTTATGTGAGGGGTGACGACCCGGTAATGAAGCCGTGAACTCTAAAAAGTGGTATAACTCTAGTTATAGCCCATTAATGAGGGAGCCGTGAACTCTAAAAGTGGGAGAACTATAGTTATATAGCCCTTAGTAGGGGACTCACAACCCTACTCATGCCTACCGATGAACTTCCAAGTACTCCAAAACCGCATACAAGAAGAAGATCCAGGAGATGCAAACGGTGCAAGAGCAAGGGCCTGAAGAGCACAACTTCGACGAGATCATGAGGCCTTTGGAAGCACGCTGGAAGTTTGGGTTGAAGGGTCTGATACCGCAGGGGCATGAGTGGTTGCTAAGGGGGCTCTTTATCATTACCTATACTATTCTGGGGGTTCCTTATTTTAGTTTTAGTATAATGGGTCCGGGTCCCAAAACCCGACCGTAATCACTAAGGCCCCTATACTACTGGTGTAGGACCCAGGGATGATGTTGCGTGGTTTTGAGGGTTTTCGCACTGCTTCAATCGGAAGTGATAGTTTAATTAGTCGTGCATGGCTGTGCGTGTAAACTGTTATCGTCTGCCAATTAAGGTGTGCGTGTGGTTGTATATGTGCGTGTGTGCATATGTGTATATGTCTTGTACATACCAGTATGCGTGAATATGCTGGAATGTGTGTATAGTCCGCCAGAACGGGAATAGACAAGGAGATCCTATTCGGAGTCGAGTGTGTTGGGGGTTTGGATGTTCATGATTTGGGGATTTGGGATTGCAGGCACCCTGAATGCTCGCCTACTAGGCAGCGTTCGGCTTAACGACTGTCGGTTCAGCTTCCTGAAATGGCAGCTGCAACAGATTGCGCAGGGCTGTGCTTTTTTAGCTTTTCGGTATGCGCATCCACGGTTCTGTTGGAGTTCACGAAGGCGTTTAGGGCTTGTGGTTTTTTACAGGGTTAAAATCCTGGCTGATGGTGTAGGTTTTTCTATCGGGAAGAATTAAAATGCTTCAAAGCGAACTTATAAGCACATACAATACTTCCACCCCAAAGTACCTTTCTCCGGACTACTTAAAGGCAAAGCTAAAGACAGTTTGGGAACACGGGTAGTTCTCCAAGTTGGGGTCCTTTTTTAGCTCCCCAATCAAAAGAGGCCCCTCATGAGGACAACTACCCACACCCCTAAACCCTAGACCCGTGGGGGCAGGGACTACTTGGAGAATCTTGGGTACTTACAACTCCCTAATATGGGTTATAACTATACTTGTCCTACTTATAACCCCACTTGCTACCCTAAACCTGAAACCCTAAACCCTATAGAACCCGTAAGGAACCCTACTTAGAACCCTACTTGTAACTCCCCATCAACCTGGGGCTGGGGCTGGGGTGGGGATGGGGCGGGCTGCCCCAAGTATAGAAGCCCAAGCACCGTCGGATGCTTTCTTCGAGAGGCTTTTGGTGTACACGCACCCACTGGCCGACATCTTCCAGCGCGTAGGCATGGGGGTTAGGGGTAGGGTTTAGGACATCTAGGGGGGTGTTGAGGGTAGGGGTTAGGGGTAGGGTTTGGGGCATAGGGGTTTAGGAATTTGTGGGCATGGGGGAGCGGGTTTAGCGCTTCAGATTCGGAAGAACGGTCGAGTTGCAGCTGCTGAGGCATACTTGTAATATGAAGCACCTTCCGCTTTCAGAGCCTGGCACTTGTTGCCACAGAGCATGATGCAGAGCACCCTCCGAGCAACTACCTGCTGGGATTCCTGCAACTACGCAGTCATGGGTTCAGGGCTTGATGTCTGATGCTTGCATTCCAATCGGTCTAGAGAGACAACCTGAAATAACACCAGATGCTTGCGCGCTGTCTGCTTTCTTCCCAGACACCGCCGACTCGGATAACTACGACAACAAGCTCAAGGCCACGTTGAAGGAACCATGGTGGAATTGCGGGTGAGACAGGGCTCCTAACTATAAGTAGGGTACTTAGAGCGCAAATTGAAGATTGTGAACTAACTGGCGCTTGCCTCGCTAGCCATTCACCTGGACCAAAACTTGAGGCTCCAAGCCTCCTAATTACCATCTCCTGAATCCAAAACTACCCTAAGGGTCCATGTACCCATATAGAGATACATGGGCCCTGATGTACCTGTATAGGGACTACATTAAGGCCAATGTATATACTATATGAGTACATGGACCCTTAGGGCTAGGTAGACCCTTTGGACATTTTCTCCTTTCCCGGATTGCAGAAAGCACTAAACTCCCTGAACCCCAACTTGAACGAGCGCCAAACGTACTGGAGGCCTTTGAGTCTACCCTTGCACTCCAGAAGTTGCATTCCTTGCTCTCTGTATCTATCTACCTATTTAGGGTTTAGGGCTTAGGGGTATCTATATATCCACACAATAGCAAGATATATACATATGCTGACAAACCCCCGTCCCCCCTTTGTGTGTGGTAGTTGGAAGCCTTGGCATATGAGTCCGCAGAGCTTCATAGGGTAGAGCCCAGATGCCCAGACATGTCACGACTGAGCCATGGCAGTCTTCCTACTTTTTTGTGTGTGTGTTTTTGGTTACGCTGCTGCAAGCCGTGTTCACGATGAGCTGATCGTTCAGCCAAGGAGATCTTCGCATTCTTCTGCCTCCGCCAGCAACCGGAGAGCCGCCCCGCAGCACATTGTGCAAATGTTTTGTTGGGGTCGGGCGGAAGGCATCTCCTATAGCTAGCAGCTAGCATCCTTTCCACAAGGGTCACAAGGGCACCGACAAGAGCCAGGGTTCCGAAAATGACGATGGAAGTCATTGGACACGTAGTGCAGGGAGAGAGAGAGAGAGAGAGAGAGAGAGAGAGAGAGAGAGAGAGAGAGAGAGAGAGAGAGAGAGAGAGAGAGAGAGAGAGAGAGAGAGAGAGAGAGAGAGAGAGATGGAGAGAGAGGGAGAGGGAGAGGCAGAGAGAGAGAGAGAGTGTGTGTGTGTCTGTGTGTGTGTGTGTGTGAGTGTGTGGCGTGTTTCTGTTTTGCGCCGTTCACAAGCTGATGTCTCTGCTTCGCCGAACACCTGCAGAGCAAGCTAAAAGCCTTGATCACAGAAACAGACTGACATCGAGTCTTACAGCAACCTTGTTTACAGGTATCTTGAGGCGGCCCAGAGCTCGCTTTGCGGTTCTAAAGGAATTTCCCTTCATCTTGCTAACAGTCTATAAGATCCAGCCCCTGGATATTAGCCCCCACAGAGCCATCGAGCCCCAAACCGGAAGACCTCCAACTAGCCGCTAGGATAACGACTTGCAGACCCTAAACCCTAAAGCCTCAGAACCTTGTAGACCCCAGGCCCTAAACCTGAATATTGAAACCTACAAAATGCCCGTACCCCCCCATTGCAGAAACCCTAAACCCTGAACCCTAAACCCAACGAATTAAACCTCGAATCCGAAACCCTTAGCCGGATGCGATTGCAGGCATATTGCGCGATCTCCAAGCCTTGGGCAAGGCCCGCCCTTTCAAGATTCGATTCTCGGTTTACAGGGCTTAGGGCCAGGGACAGGGGTTTAGGGACTCGGGTTCAGGGATTAGAGGGTTTAGGAGTTATAGGATTTGGGGATCAGAGTTCAGGGTTTGGATTATCTACATTGTGGTCCTACTGGGGGACAGGAGTTGCCGGGGGTATATACAAAGCAACGCACTGTCATACAGCAGAAACCCTAGACCCCGAACACTCCGGTGTTGCTCTTGTGTGTGAGCGTTGACCGGTTACCTAATTGGCTTTTTCCATATGCAAGCCCTCTGGGGACACTTTGAGATTCTGGGTACAAGCATCCTGTCATGCTCCAGATCCAAGAGAGATGCAGTTTGCAACGGCTCCTAGATTCCTGAAGGCAGGAAGTCAGGTTGGATGGAGCCAAGCTGCTTCTGGAAATGGGTTAATGAACGGTACTAGACCATCCTGCACACGTTATTTTACTAAACCATACGAAACAAACCTTGTCACACTATAGTAAGGGTACAGCAAGGTTCTGTATATCGAGGGCTCAATGAAACGACTCGGGCAATCGTCTTTGCTTTCGATGACTGAGCTAACCGCATTACACCAAGCCTTGAAGGCACATGGATCAGACTAAAGGGGTGGTTGGGGGGCACGGGGGCATTGCTGATGAACATACAAGAACTTTGGGATGATACACAAAGGCCTAGAAACAAATTGCCCCGTAAACCGGAAGACCTCAAAGTCGTTTCTCCGGACCAGGCCAAGTGCCTCGAAGAGACTCACGCCAAGGCGGGCCAGGACAGGACATACTCTTTCACTTCATGTCAGACATTATGTACGAACCTTCGGCAAGGATTTGGTCGGAGTTCCTGTAACTATTTGGGTTGGTTTCTGTGGCAATCGTCGAGGCTTTCGATTTGCCTGTGGTCATGTGTTCGAGATCACACGCAGACCTGCTTTCGGTTTGTATTCAGAAATGTAGCTAGCTTGCTATTCTGCTCCGGCTCGAGTAGCGGACGCTCATGCGATCCCAGGTTATCAGTAGAGGTCGAATAGACTCTGCTTGTTGTCAGCTATCTATAGGTTCCTATAGGATTGCTTCACCAACGAAAACCCAAGAAGCTTAGCTTCAAATTCCAATGCCTAGATCATTGAGCCAATCCCCTATAGACCCAAACGCTGAAACTCTGAGTCTCGCGAGTAGCTTGTCTTCGCATCACCTTACTTGGAGGTTCTTGGGTAGGTATAAGTGGGGTTATAAGTAGGCTAACTGGGTAGGTGTAAGTGGGGTTATAAGTAGACTAACTATAGTTAAGACCTATGTTAGCGGACTTATAACCCTAGTTACTCTGTTTAATCTAAAACTACCCACGGACCTCCAAGTAAGCTTGCAGTTGCCAGCCTTCTGCATGCGAGGACGTCGCCAAGTGGTCTGAACGGATCTTTGCCTGCCTTGAGGACCGTTTGCACAATCTAAACCCTAAATCTAAACCCTAAACCCTAAACCCTAAACCCTAAACCCTAAACCCTAAACCCTAAACCCTAAACCCTAAACTAAACCCCTAAACCCTCAACCCAAAGTTGTTTTCAAGGTTTGAAGGATGTCGCCAGATCAGGCTCTAAGCTTATCGGACTCCTGATTCATTGAAAAGGCTAGCATGAAAGCGTTGATGCCGTTTCAGATTATTCCCAGAGACTCCAATATCCCTTAATTCAGGAATATACAGGAATATACCTCCACCTATAATAGGATCCTTGATATGATTGAAGGTATATTCCTTAGTTAAGGGATATTGGAGTTGCTGGGTTCTGCCTAAGACACAGCCTCATAGAGCCAGTAAGGGTAATTTGAAATTCCGGGCTGTGCTACTCCTAACCTGCACTACTGCTGTTGATGGTATAAATCCTGCATTGCCTTAAGGACCCTAAACTATGGGAATTATGGTATATTCCTTATTATGGGTAATGCAGGATTTATATCATCAACCGTTATGGTCGCAATCTAGAAGCTACTGGTCTCTCGGAAGCTTGGTTTGCGTTTTGTGCTCCCAGGACCAATAAGCGCTTGACTGCACGACATTCTCTGGGGAGGTTTCAAATCCTGTGCAAACAACTAGCCTATCCCCAAAGCGAATGCTCAATACTGCTGATGGACAAAATCCTGCATTACCCATTATAAGGAATATACTATAGTTCCCATAGTTTAGAGTCATTAGGGTCATGCAGCAGTCATGCAGGATTTATACCATCAACCCTAAACCCTAAGCCCTATAGATCCCTTAAAGGAACCCCTATAAAGGTACCCCTATAGATCCCTTTAAAGGAACCCTAGGATTGTGTCCATCAGCAGTAACTCTGTCAAGATTCCGTTGGCCAATTTCTATAGAAGATCAGAATTCCCATCTAGGAAAGGGGCGCCTGAAGGGCTTAGAGTTTAGGGGTTTAGGGTTGAGGGTTTAGGGTTTACAGCATGACAAGTAAATCTGACAAGGAAGCTTTCCCCAGGGTTTTTTGCAGAATAAGAAGCCCGATTACGGTGGATCACCTCAGAGGATCAGACTGTGTGGCCACACGCCATCCAGCAGACCAACAAGATACTTGGCAAAATACAGGTCCTACAAGGCGTTAAGGGCTCCACATTGGTCAAGGTTCTGCGAAGGTTTGGGATTTCTGGTTCAGGTTCTATGGGTCCGGTCCAAGGCAGGGGTTTATAAGGTCCCGGCATTGGGCTTGAGTTTTGGGAGGCTTACTTAAAGGATCATGGGACTTAGTAACTAGGGTTATAATTAGGGTAACTATACTTATAACTACTTATAACCCCAATTAAGGTACTTATAACCTTACTTACTAAGTCCCATGATCCTCCAAGTACACACCCAATCATCCTCAATACCAGGCCTTAGTTGCGGTATAATGCACCTCAAAACCTTAGCCCGAGACGCTGAAGCCTGGTTTCCACGGTTTAGGGTGTAGGGTTTAGGGTTTACACCACAAAATGCCCGTATCCTGCCCAAGCGATGTTTTCCCGAAGCTTCCGAGGGGGTACACGGGTTCCACCACAGCATGTGTACTAAATTCTTAGCCCTCGAAACTCCGTTGTCCTAAAGCCTTAAAGCCCCAAGGCAGTAAAGGATTTTAGGATTTGGGGTTTAGGGCTTGGGGTTTTTGGGGTCAGAGTCAGAGCTTACCTTTTCGCGGTTTCTCTACGCTGGGACAGGTTGGGCTCAGGGCTCATTGGGCCATCGTCAAACTGGAGGGGTCCATGTATCTAAACGGTATATACTTTGGCCCTAAAAACCCTTGGCACACCACTAAGCTCCGGTTTCCTGAAGCCATAAGCTGCACCTGTGGATCATCCTAAAGAAAAAGGCCCGTTAAGTCCCAGTGCCCGAACACTTCAGCACCAAATGCTACAACCACCCCGGACCCTCAAGCCTTTAAGCCCTCAATCATAAACCCTAAGGCCCTAAACCCTAAACTGCCCTAAACCCTAAGCCTTTAAGCCCCAAAACCCTATACCCTAAAGCCCTAAACCCTAAACCCTATAGATCCCTTTAAGGAACCCTATAGATCTTTTTAAGGAGCCCTAAACCCTAAACTGCCCTCAACCCTAAACCCTAAGTCCTAGATGCCTCCAGGCAGTGGTTCCTGGGCTCCTGGATCGTAGCGAGTCTTTTCGGGCCCAAGGCCGCATCTCTTGGGCAGTTTTCAGGGTTTAGGGTGTAGGGTTGAGGGTTTAGGATTTAGGGTTTAGGGTTTAGGGTTTAGGATTTAGGGTTTAGGGTTTAGGGTTTTTTAGGGTTTAGGGTTTTGAGGCTGGAAACCTTACATCCCTGAGCCCGAAGCCTAAACCCTAATTCGATTTGGGTTTAGGGCTGAGGGTCTAGAGCGTGGTCGTGTCGCATCATGAGTCAAACACGTGAAACTCCTGAATTCGAGAAAATTTAAAGATTAGTGTGATTGGGTGCCAGCACGGATTGGTGGAGGGTGCTGGAAGCTGGAAAGAATTTGCGATTTTGCTCCTCAATAACATGCTCTGCTCATAGCGACGTAACCCACGATGTTTGTTCCAAGTAATTTGTATAATGCCACAGCAGAGCACTGCAAACCAGTCAACTGCTTCCCTAAACCATAGACCCTAGCAAACTATATCCCCAGTGTTAAGGCTTTTATAACTGATTAGACGTATCAGTTTAGGGTTTCTGAGCTTTGGGGTCTATGGATGTATTTGTTTAGGGTTTTGTAGGGTTTAGGGAAATGTTGTCTGTGTTTTGGGGGGATGTTGGGATAATGGCATCAGGCTATTGCATTCAGGATTTTGAGGTTCCCTTAGGGGTTTAAGGCCCAAGTAAGCCACGGCACGCTTCTATCCTAAACCCAAGTCCCTCATCAATCAATCCTGTGGATCCCTAGGGTTAGTGCTCCAAGAACTGGCTGCAATGAGGCCAGAGCATCTATCGTTATGGAGCCATCTGTAGTCTGCTTGATCCCCTGGGGAGTTTTCCAGCTGAGCACGATAAGCCCGATCCCGAACCTCCGATCCGAGAATCCTGAAACCGAAACTCCAAACCCCAAACGCTGCAACTTAAATCTGACGCCTTTTCTGGACCCGAAGTCACCTGCCTGTTGGAGGACTGATATAAGGAAGACATATTATGTAAGCAGTCCTAAAAACAGGTAGGTTGTTAGGTGGGGTTAAGAACCCTATGACTTCTGCCGGGCTTTTCGGGCCTGAATGTCTACACATACACACGGCTTTATTCAGCAGGGTTTGAGGTTCGGGAGTTTGGGGCTTGGTATGTTTAGAGTCTAGGATAGCAGCTCGCGCGTCGAGCTGAAACTGCAGGTCAACCCTGAACAAGCTTATCCACACAGCCTATAATAAATGCAGGTGGTCGCCACCTTCGCCAGCCGCAGCGTGTCACACCAGCGCTTGAATGCAGAGGACATCGGGCATGAGACGTTCCGGCTTGGACACAAGAACTCTGAGACCGTGAACCGTGTTCCCTACAAGCCCTAAATTGGCAACCCTGAGGCCTGAACTTAGGGACCCAAAAAGCACATAAGCATAAGCATTTGATGGGGATATCCCTACCTTATTGGGCTTCATTATAAGGGAATTTGTATGGGATATCCCTATCCTAATTTTTGCTTATGTGCTTTTTTGGGGCCCTATGAACCTTACTCCCAACCCTGAACCCTATAGTAACCCCTAAACCCTAAACCCACAGCTCGCAAACCCTAAGAACAGAAGCCAAGGCCCCACTGTACTTCCTTGAGACGAAGAGTCAAGCCCGAGCCGAAGAAGGGAAGGAGATTACTGGCTCCTGAAACTTCGAGCTGTAGAATGTAGATAGAATAGCAGGAAGTAGGTATTATGTGTCCAAACAGTAACTAAATAGTATCGCCCAAAGAGGTCCCACATGTCAGAACCGTTGTAGCAGCCAGACAGTGGTCGTCATTGTGGCCGTCATCGGAATCAGAGGAAGTCGCATCACTGGTAGCCGTTTGACTCCATCTGGATGGTGATTTAGACGAGATGCCATTCGAGAGACATGTGTTGCCGGCATTCAGCGCGGACGCGGGATGCAGACTATCAGAATCCATGATTCACTGTTCCAGACCGCCCGCTTGGGTTCACGCGCACACGGAGCCGCGTCTTCATGCCTGCAAGGTTAGCACAGCACACCCACTCGCAACACGCCACGTCTCAGACAAATCGTACAGTGGTTAAGCACAAGGATCAAGGATGCACAAGAGCAGCCAGATATGCTTGCATATGCTCCCACATATGCTCATAATTCCTTCTTGCATGGTGTTTACCCCTATGTGACTATGTGTATACGAGAAGAACAAATACATATACAGATACATATACATATACATATGGGGGAGGAGGGTGGGGGAGTATTCAAGTCCAAGCTCCAAGATAGCAGCGACCAGTGTCGTAAGTTGGCCGACTGACTCCTGGCTACAAAATTTCAACTCAAAAGCCCTGCTTACTATAGGGGTCATCTTCTAACAAATACTATTTGTTTTTTTTGGGGGGGGTCCTTATTATATTTTTCGTATAATGGGCCCCGAAAACCTATTCTAAGTATCAAGACCCCTATATTACCTTATGCAGGCGAATGTCCAGTAGGACTCGCCCAATCGAGAGGGCATGTTCAAGATGCATGATGAACCGGAATCGGCCCAATGAAGGGGCCCTAAACGCTAAGCCCTAAACCTAAACCCTAGACCCTAATTTTCAGGACTCCATGTGCTACCACATTTCCCGCGGCCTCCAACAGTGGCACCAGCAGGCGGTGGATGCCACGGTAATATGGAAATCTGAATCATCAGCAATATGTTGTTGAGTCCGGGTCACTGTGGAAGTTCCGATGTTGTTTAGGGTTCCTGTATATATATATATATATATATATATACATATATATATATATATATGTATGTATATGTATATATATATATATATATATATATATATATATATATATACGTACGCGTGTATGATTATATATATATATATATACACATGTTTATAACACATAGCATTGATTCACCCCGTTAGTGATTTGGGATTCAGGGCGCTATCCGAAACTGGCAACAGGGTCCTTTATGTAGAACTCGTCGCACAGAGTTTTCTAGTGCCCAGGCTTCATGCTATGTTCTTGTAGTATTTGCGTTTAGTATATCTGACATGACAGGTCTCTTGCACGAGATGTTTAGGTGTATGCCATCTGAGGCTTCGCGTCTCGAGGGTTCAAGGGTGTTGGGTGTTATCGAGGTGTCGGAATACTGAGTTGGTATTAGTATCACCCTTTTATTCTCTAATGCACTTATAGTATAATGCACCCCACAACATTGTTCTAATTCTCGAGGCCCCTATATTCGGGCTGGTCACTCTGCCGATCGAAGTGCAGTAGCAGCCTCGGGGCCAATATACATTTATGTATATATATATATACACCCACATATATATATATATATATATATGAACAAAAGTATGCCACTATAAGGGACAGCCGCTAAGTCCCAAGCCTCAAACTGATGTCTAAACCCTTGGGAAGTCGGAGGCCGGAGACAGCGACGATTTCCGGCTGAAGGAGTTTGTCGTGCAACAGTTCCTTGGCTGACCTGCTCAGTCTTTCAGTTTGGGCCTTAGGGTTTACCTGAACTCTGAAGGACCTACCTTTTTGAGGACTTATATAAGGAAATCAGAATAAGGAACTCTAATTAAAAAGTTAGGTTATTCAGGGTTAAGGTAGGGTTTAGGAGCTGAGTAAGCAACCTTGAACCTTCTGGGGATTATGGTAATATAACTTTACCATAACTGAAAAGGTTGACCCTTTTTTTGGGCTAGGGTATTCAGCCCCTATAAGGTTAGGAGTTTAGGGTTTGGGGTTAAGTTAGGCTCGAATGCAGATTTAAGGTAAAAGCCAGAAAGTTGGAATATGATTATCCTAACCCTTCTATGGTAAATTATAAGGTATCCTACCCTGAAACCATATTCCAACTTTCTGGAGTTCCCTTTAGGGTTCTGGGATTCTGGGCTTGGAACGGAGCTTTTTGGAGTGGGGGAGCTCCTTTGAAAGGGTTCAGCCCATGCCCGCAGAGGACAAAGGACGGAAATTTCAGTGGGTACCCTAAACCCTGAATATTTAAAGGGGTCCTGTAGTTTCCTTAGGGGTAAGTGAAAAAACTTTGAGTTTTTGGTTATTATAATCCCTAAGAAACAGCTATAATTATAATTGTTGCTAGGGTTCTAAGTTCAGTATAGTTTCCACAGACTGTACATCATGGCACCGCTGAGGTATCTTGCGCAGAGCAACCCCCTTTCGAAGGACAACTGCGAGTACTTGGGTAAACCATGCAACCTGGCGTTTTTTCCGGCAAATGCCTCATGCGCAGGCAAGACCCATCGTCCAACATGTAGGCACAGAACGAGTCTTAGGCAGATACCTCAACAGAGATGCACATACGTCCATGCAGGTGCAGTCGTGCATGCAAAGATGGAGGGATGCGGTGCGTGAGCCTGGGTGTGTATACATATACACATGTTTGGCACGAAGTGTGGCAGACAAATAGGTGGAGATGGAAATCTACAGACATGTGACACGGTATGTGCAAACACTGTGCATAGGCACGTTGAACTGAGCATGTGCAGGCATGCATGCAGGCAGCAAATCACAACAGCAACATGCCAGGTGTATACTTGCATACACACCTACTCGCACGACCCTCCCTTCACTGCTTCATTTGTTCCTTCCTTCGTACGCTTGCTTACCATATAAACATATATATATATATATATACTCTTCGATCAAAGTCAGTACGTAGTGTCGCTGTTCAATCTACCTCTCCATGCCTCTCTCTGTCCTTTTCCGTCGCACTGTCTTATAGGAGGGCACTTGAGGCAATTGGTCTGCCTTCGTCGGCATCATTGGCGAATTTCTTGCTGGGCACCTCCGCAGCACCCCTGGGAGTGTGGAAAAAGTAGGTGATGCTGGGCAGGCGGGTTCACCCATTCGCGTGCAGTTCGCGGTATACATCATACGTTTGGGGTTTGGTGCCCATTTTGGCTTGTGGGGGCGATGAGTTGCAGTTGTGCGGTGTTGGTCATTCCGGCAGTGGGGCCCCCACAGCCCTTATCTGTAATGAGCTAAACCATTTCTTTCCAAATCCCGAATGATCAAGGCGAGAACGACCTTTTGTCCCGCTTCACCTCAGTCCCGAAATCCCACGAAACCCTGAGCCCGGAACTCGGGATACCTTCTTTCAGGGACTGAGTTTTAGAGACTTTTTTAATAGGAGCGGGGTTTAGGGTTGAGGGTTTAAGGTATTTTCCGGTATCCCGTTCGACACAGTCTGCACGCAGGTCGTTGCTTACACCAGATTCTGGTTTGAGCTCCCACTATTGTATTTATCTGTTTCATTCCAAATAATTAGACATATGTGTGCGATAGACCGTGTATTCAGACGCGCGAGTCTGTACACATGTGTATGTATAATCATGTAAAGAGAGATGCATATATGTATCCGGATAAGGATACACAAATGTGTGTGCACATATATACAGTTGCTCGTCAACATATTCGCAGCCTGTATAGACGCACGTGGAAATTACATCTGTGCATGTGCCGGTACTGTACATATCCATAGGCATATGCCGAAAGTTTGGTAAGCAAATGTGCATGCACGTAGAAGTCTCAGAATCCCAGGTTGAACTCTTTTACCCTGAAGATGAGTGTTCAGGAGGGAAGCAACAGCTCCAAACTCCAAATCTATGCCATACCCTAAACCCTTAAACCATACCATACCCAGAACCCCGAATCTTGAAGACTCACAGCCCTGTACCGTAAGCTCGGCACCGGCGGCCTTCAATCCTAAAGAGCTTGAGGGGATTCCTGCAAGGTGCGCGTGGCCAGAGCAAGGCACACCGGAGAAGGGCCTTGACCAGCACTTCCTCAGACAAGTGCCTTGCCCCGAATTTGCTGGGGGTGCGGGAGGGGGGGGGGACGGGCCTTAGAACAGAGCTCCCCGGAGTTCTATAACATATAATGGCCCCAATGAATAGATTCAAAGTTTTGGGGACACTCTGGTATGAGTATAGAGCTGCCCTAACAAATAGTATTGGCAATTATTTCAGGCTTCCGCAGCAGTTGTGTTGTTGGCTTGAGGGTTTGTTGGGCATGTACGGTTTTGGCGTTTAGGCTTTTCCGTTTCGGGTTGTAGTCTAAAGTTTCAGTGGTTTCAGTCGTTTGAAAGATGTCTTTCGGGTTTAGGATGTAGGGCGTACAAGGTTTAGGCTCCGAGGGTCCGAAACCCTGAACCCTACACCCTAAACCCTGAATCCTAGACCCTAAGCCCTGAACCCTACACCCTAAACCGTAAACCCCTAAACCCTGAACCCTACACCCTAAACCCTAAACCCTGGAGATTCAGAGAGCTTGACCGAGAGGTCTGAGGGCCATCACGAGCTCCTGACCTTTCCGGTTTCTGAAGGTGAGGTTGTGGGATTTTGGGGTTTAGGGTTTAGAGGTTTTTGGATTTTGGGGTTTAGGGTTTAGGGGTTTAGGTTTTAGGGGTTTAGGCTTGCAGTGAAAATAACAGCCACTTTACGCCCTTCCCGTCAGGCTGAGGCAAGCGCCAAGTCCGTCGACCCTAGATTAGACTAGACCTTGTTCCCCAATCCTAAGTTGATATGCGAGATATCTATGAATGCATGAATGAATGAAGGAAGGAAGGAACGAACGAACGAATGAACGAATGAATGAATTAATGAATGAACGAAGGAACGAATGAATTATTGAGTGCATGCGTGAATGAGTGTGTGTATGTATGAATGAATGGATGAAATGAAAAGAAAAGGCCTGAAATGACATGAAATGACTGAGTGAATCAGTGAACGAGAGAAAGAAAGGTTGTATGCAGGCATGTGCATATGCATATATACATGTACGTATGGTAGATGCACAAGTGTATGCAGATAAAAACTAAAGATACATTCAGGCATACTGACATGAAGACACACAGACAGACATACTCACACACACACACATACACATGCATACATACATCAGTACATGCATACGTACATCCTTACATGGTTGCATGCTTCCATCCATGCATGTATGCATGCACATGCTATGATCTGAAATATTCAAGCACGGTACGATATGCAACGAGAGTTTGTGTTATGACATGTTGTTGTCACATGATATGATACTGTATGACATGATATGATGTAGTAAGATGTGAGATGATATGCCTTGTTTTGCTATGATAGGATAGGACAGAAGAGCAGCCGAGAGGAGAGGACAGGATAGGAGGTGTTGCGACATGGTTTGTGTCGGTGTGCATCTGTATATATGTATACATATATGTATGAAACAGAGATATACATATACATAAATGTACATGTACACGTACATATACACACATGGGTACATACATACATACATACATACATATATACATACATACATACATACATACATACTTACTTACATACATACACACATACATACATACATACATACATGATACATACATTATACAAACGTTTATGTGCGTATCTATCTGTCTTTCGATCGATCTATCTATCTAGCCAGCTTCATATATATATATATATATATATATATATATACCACTGCTTCAGTGAGTACGCATCGCATGAGGTGGACAGTGAACTCGAGCGCGTCGCCTGCATCTTCAAGGCGTCGGGTGAATTGTTCTGTGCCTTCTGTCTCCGCCCAAAGACTCCAATATCCCTTAATTAAGGAATATTCCATAAATTATAGTAGGATCCCTAATATGATTTAAGGAATATTCCTTAAATTATAGTAGGATCCCTAATATGATTTAAGGAATATTCCTTAATTAAGGGATATTGGAGTCTCTGGGCGGGTTTTGATGGGTATTGATCATGCTCTGTTAGGGTTTAGGGTCCCGTTTAGGGTTGAGGGCTGACTCATGTCTGTTGGCCGAGTACCAACATAGTAACATAGTGTCAGGCCCTACACTCCTACACACTAAGCCCTAAGCCTAAGCACTAGAACAGAGCGTGGTTTAGGAGCTTGCGGCTCAGGGTGATCAGTTTGAAGCTCCGACCCTAGGGTTGGAACCTCGTCTCCCCTGAGACGCCAGGGTTTAAGGTCTATAGTTTTGCTGCAGAAATCTCTAGCACTCAACTCATAGAAAAGTCCCTTTAAGAAGGCACCCGCAGTTCAGGGATACTGCAGCTTCCGGATTTGAGAGAAGGAATACTGCAATCATGGTTGTGGAGTCGTTGTGGTGCCGGCTCTTCTGAAGGAATGTTTCGGTTTCTTCTTGCGTAAACTTGCGTCTCCCTAAATAGGAGCTGCAACGACCGAACCAAAAGCCCACCCAGGCATAGTCTCGAGTCCTAAACCCTAGACCCCAAGCCCCTGAACCCTAGCCCCTGAAGCCTAAAGCCTTAACCCTCGACATCCTTAAACCCTCGAATCCCTGCTCCGTACGTCCAAGCACTGAATCCTGAGCTCTAAGCCCTACACCCTGAAACCCTACACCCTAAATCTTACCCTAACTAAACCAAGGCTCTAAGCCCTACACCCTGAAACCCCGGCCCCTGAATCCCATCAGTGTTAAAACACCCGGTGCGACAGGAGAACGGCAAGCTTCGGGATCTGAGATGGGGTCCATTCTGGAGGTGCCAAAGATCTTCCTGAATATAGGGGCATCAATATTCACAGTAGGGCTCCTTTAAAGGGGTCTATAAGGGTGACCAAAAGGGGTCTATAAGGGTACTATCATATAGGGCCATTCACATGTAGACTGGGGTTTGGGACCTTAGTGGTAGTTATGCAGGCTTCTACGCAGGGCTTCTTAGGATCTAGATCTAAGGGTCTGAACAACTGTCAATGGCATACCCCGCCAAACCCTACTCTACTCAGAAAAAGGTCTCAATGTCGGGAATATGCCATGTATGCTTGGAGAGGAAGGTACACGTGGTTATAACCCTAAACCCTAAACCCTAAGGCTCCCTAAAGAGTCTGGCACATCAGCAGCAGGCAAATGATTCATCAGTACAACTCTGGCGTCGACGTGGTTACGTTGAAGAATTCCGAGGATTTGAGGGATGCTGGCAACGCGCCACGAGTTGTAAAAGGCACTCTTGACATTGACGAGTACAAGATCGTCAATTCACTTTACGGCACCAGCGCAGAAGCATACGATGCACTACTCGCTTTCCCATTCGAGTTCGGTGCTTTCGTACCCTACGAGCCTTATGACGAGGTTCTAAGGGGCTTGCTGCCTACCTTGGTCGCGCTACGCGTTTCACGCTGCAGATTTCTTGTTACTGAACATGTGACGATACACGTGCATTGTTGCACCACGAAGGGGCCACAGGAGGAAATGCCTGTGGTGAGATGACTGGGTATCCATTGCGCAGATGATGGCCCTTCCTCGGGGTCCCCACAAGTGATGGAGGCACGGCGACTGATATACGTGTCGATCGCGGTCTGACGCGGCGCCCATAAGGCTTATTCTTCTTCACTGTGTTCCGGGAATACGGAGTGGCGAGCCTGCTGCCGGGTGGGCGGCTGAGGTGAGGCCGAGTGCTGTTTACCGCATACTCCTCGTGCGGCACCTATGGGATGTAAGGTGAGCAACGGTACGGTGAGAGATCCCCAATATCAGTTACTGGCGGGTTACGTCTAGGCTGGTTGCATGTCCCGCGAGGGTGTGTAGTTGGCTGAGGGGATTCAGGCCAATGGCGCGGTAGGGGAGACTAGTGTCCATGCCTTTGACAGTGGTAGTTGTTTTCTTTCTTTTTGGTCACCCGGGACCCATTTTGCTTTCGTCACATTCTTTCCACTTGCCAACGGGCACAGAGCTCACACCTTTGAGCGTTGGTTCACAAAGTGATCCTTCTGAACTCGTCACACACCTTTCTTTTCTTTGTTTTCGTAGATGGCTATCAGGCTGACAACCAAGCAGAGAAGATCCCTTAAGAATGGGAACAAATCAGCCAAACTCCGACAGTACATTCGGCAAGACAAGCGCAACGCAAGGAGGAAGAGTGGCACTCAGTCTCGAGCACTTGTTGGAATCAAGCAGGGAACTGGACAAGCAGTCCCCAAGCCATTCGGCTCCGTTTCCCGTGCTTCCAATCCTGCACATTGTTAGCATTGACCACAACGCAGATGCAGAAATTTCTCACAACGCTAGAACTAGGAGCCGCCGAGTATGGAATGTCCCTCAACTCCACCAAGACAGAGCTATTGGTTAAGGACCCTGAGGCCAAAAGTCTTTTGTCCTTTAGAGATGGTTCCGAAGTTCCGACCACAACGCACATAAAATATTTAGGGAGTATGATCGCCTGGGAACAGCCTTTCGAAATCGCCTTTCGTCATAGAGCAGCGCTAGCCGAAGAAGCCTATAAAAACTCAGGTTAGTTTGGAATAGCGGTCGCTCTAAAAAACATAAGCTATACATTTTCCGCACCACCTTCGTCCCCACCATATGCTACGGACTGGACGCGCTTACCTTAACAGACCAAAACCTCCATAAGATTGACGCCTGGTATCATAAATTCCTTCGACGAGTTATTGGCATAAAGGCCACATATTACTCCCGAGTCAGCAACTGGGATGTTACAGACCCTACAAATCAAGACGCTTGCCAGCATTGTTTGCTCCTCCCCCGAAGACCCGCTGCATAACATTGTCCTCTGCCACCCTTTAAAGGATAGAATACAAGCTCAAGGTAGACGCAAGGGCATGCAGTTCCCATATTGGGTAGAAGTCACAACCCATAGGCCCATAGACACTTTCCTGAAATCTGGGTAGGGGACCACATCGCTCGCAGATATGCCGCAAAGAAGATTTATGGGCAAAACGAACAGTATGTGATTCTAGGTAAGATCCTCAAAAACCTGCAAGACCCGGCAGAGCAGGCGCCAAAGCGCGCGTCGTACACGCGCGCATGGCGTTGACAAAAAAAAAGGCTCCCTAAACCCTATAAACCCTAAACCCTAAGCCCTAAAGGGCTGGGGCCTTTCGGGTTTGGCATTGGTTTTCGAGCTTTCGGGCTGAGGCTTTAGGATCCTGGCTTCAAGGTTTGCTGTCGAAGTTAGATGAAAGTAGGGTTTGGAAAAAAGCCAAATCCTAAACCACTCAACCGTGAAACCGGTTACAGGAGGTTGGGCTGCAGGGTGGGAGGAAGTTGACAGAACTTCCGAGTGGCGGGAGGTGCTGAACGGCTTGTAACCTAAGGCTCTCAGGACCCATAATAGTTTAGGTCTTTTCGGGTTAACGGCCGCACTATATTGGGTGTTTTCGGCTGATTTGCTCCCTGCCGTAGAGCTATGCTTGCTATCAACCCCTCCCCGTATGCAGACTCGACGGGTCGAAGGGCTTCCGTGGGGCTTTGCCAAGTCTTTCAGGTGTTGGAATATGGGGTTTAGGGTTTGTATTGTTTGTATTATACCGTTTCCAGAGTAGTTTTCGCATCTGGGAGCTATCCGGCCTTCCTTGACAGGGAATTCTTCTGGGCCTTGCAGCAGTTCTTCGCCAAGACAGGCAGGGATGTTTCTGGATGATCTATGTCTTTCACGTGATGTCAGCCATGTGAGTTTGTTGTTTGCGCGTTGTCTCGTCTTTTCTGGTACATGTAGACTGTACAGGTACATGTATGCATGCATGCATACACACATTATAAATGGACACACACACACACACATACAGAGTGCATACATGTGTGTGTGCTTGCGGACATATACATATATGTATATACATATATATATATATATATATATGTATACACATGTGCTTATACCCATATATACATATGTGAACGCATACATGAGGCAGCCCCCAGAGTTCGTTCAGGGTTGGGCTTCAGGGCCCACTCTTTTGTGAATTTTCTTGGCGAGTCATTTGACTTCGATCTGTTGTGTGGTTTTGAGAATTTCGTGTGGGCCGGTAAAGCAGCAGCAAACCTGCCACGAATGCCAGTGCACATGGCCGGCCGCCTATAAGGATATCGTGCTGTCATCATCAAGTACTATCGGTAATGCTGACTAGGAAGAAGCAACACACCAATACAGATATGATATGTTATGATTGTATTTCTGTATGTGTGTATGTAGAAACGAGTACATGCAAAGACCTGTAAACAAATACAAAATCTGTATATATACACATGCATAGAGACACAGAGAGATAGAGAGGGACGCAGATACCCGTAAGGAGACACACTGTCACAGTGACAGGCCGCAAACAGAACGCACACACACACACACAGACACATCTTGTGCAGCAGCGAAATCCAAGCAAAAGCACTGTGTACTCCATGCGGCGGCAGCACCACCCTAACCTCAAATCCCCCGGTGCAAAACCCCAAACGGTTCGTAGGAAATCTACGGATTTACTGTGGGAGACATCCCGGGTCACAATTCCAGGACTGGCCGTTGAGTGTCTCGAATTTGAGATCTCGCCATGCTGTGTTGCTGGAACTGGGCTAACTTGACAACTTACGTCTTACGTGCTGCGTTGGCCGCAACACACTCAGCGGCACGAAGCCGATAATTCAAGACCTCCACCTTTCGGCTGAAGGGCTTAAACCTAGTTCCCAGGATCACCGGGACTCCTGAGACCCCACAAAATTCCTCAAACGACATATTATACAATCGATGATATTCCTCAAATGACATATTATACAATCTATGATACATATCAATACACAGTATACGATATTCCCTGGAACCCTCTGCAATTTCTAGAAAGCTCCCTTATTCTCATATGAGTCAGGCCTGCGCGACAATTGGAAAGATTTCATCAATGAGTCGGTCGAAGAGATGGATGCATACCTGACGGAGTTCTTGTGGCTTGCCCAAATATGCAGCGTGGCAGAGTCTTTTTCTAGGCCCATGTGTAGCCCGAAAACCACACAATTTTTCGGTGCTACTGTGGTTTAATTATGTAAGTGCTTCAGCACGCAGTATTTCTGGGCTACGGGTAGGCTTATAGAGTCTCGAAGCATGTTCACACCTATTTGGTTAATGGGACTCTTATGTGGGTTTTCCTTCGTGTCTTCGGAGTTTGACAGGAATCGCAACCTTCTGCGAAAAAGACTCTAAACCCTATAAACCTGAACCTGCAGCGGAAAAAGGTCCGGTTAAGAAACAAAATCCAAAAACCCGACACCCTAAACTCTGCACCGTGCGTGAGGTGATCTTGCTTCGGATCGAAGGGTGTTCGATTTGGCTTACGGTTTAGGGTTTGGTTGGGGTTCGCTATTTCGTGACGCCAGCACGTGGGTGGTATGTACGCTGCAGCCCCAAACTACGAACCCCAACGAGAACGACGTCTAAACTCTATAAGCCCTATCAGCCCTGAGCCCTAACCCCGAGGCTCTCAACCCGACACACTGTGGAAGGAGACAATATAGCATTAAATATAACTCGAATACGAACTTGAGTATTTTTTTGAAAATTGGAAATAATACGCAATATCTAGAATAATATGTATATACATATAGGTATATATATATATATATATAGGTATATACATCTATATGAGCGTATACCGAAACCCTAAGGAAGGAGGTTTCCGAGCACCAGGAAGCCCTGAGCTCTGCGAGACAGCTGAGCCAGGAGACCTGGGTTCAGGGTTTAGCAGTGGTATCGGTACGGTTGATTTTGGTAGTAGTAGTAATAGTAGTAGTAGTAATAGTAGTAGTAGTAGTAGTAGTAGTAGTAGTAGTAGTAGTAGTAGTAGTAGTAGTAGTAGTAGTAGTATCATTCATGAGCCCAGGGGTACTTCTCGGCAGGGGTACTTCTCAGCCACTACCGAAGATTTAAGAAGATTGTTGAATTATTTCGAAGATTGTTGAAGAAAAACGAATTATTTGGACGATTGTTGAAGAAAAACGAATTATTTGGAAGATTATTGAAGAAAAACGAATTATTTGGAAGATTGTGGCAGAAATGCGAATTATGTGAGGGTTTCAATTTGAGGCTTAAACACGGTTTAGGGTTTAGGGCTCATGGTTTAGGCTTCCTGGCACGGCTCGAGGACCTGCCAAAATGGAACACCGAGGTTTAGGGTTTAAAGATTCTAGGTCTAGTATTGGTCAGCGTCGGGGCCCACAAAGTTTAGGGTGCCAACTTCCGAGGTTCAGGGTTTAAAGGTTTAGGGTTTAGGGCTTACGGTTGTTCGGGTCTAAAGGTGCAGGGTTTAGGGTTCAGCAGCTCCGGATCGAGCAGTTTTAAAGTAGAGTTGTATTTACGGTTTAGAAATAACACCCACCCACCCTTAGAATCCCATAACATAAGCCATATAAAGTCCTTCATCATCATTCAGAGAGTTCTACCTATACCCTAGCCTGTCGCACTTTAATGTCACCTTCCCACACCACTAGGAAAATACAACAGTTCATCTTTTCCGCCTTACAGAAAGAAACATGACACATTTCAGGCCGGAAATGTGTCATCTTTTCCGCCTTACAGAAAGAAGCATGACACATTTCAGGCCGGAACTGTGTCATCTTTTCGCCTTACAGAAAGAAGCATGACACATTTCAGGCCGGAAATATGTCATCTTTTCCGCCTTACAGAAAGAAGCATGACACATTTCAGGCCGGAAATGTGTCATCGTTTCCGCTTTACAGAAAGAAGCATGACACATTTCAGGCCGGAAATGTGTCATCGTTTCCGCCTTACAGAAAGAAGCATGACACATTTCAGGCCGGAAATGTGTCATCTTTTCCGCCTTACAGAAAGAAGCATGACACATTTCAGGCCGGAAATGTGTCATCTTTCCGCTTTACAGAAAGAAGCATGACACATTTCAGGCCGGAAATGTGTCATTGTTCCGCCTTACAGAAAGAAGCATGACACACTAAAGCCTAGACCCTAGGCCCTAAACCCTAAAGCCCAAACCCTATAGGCCCTAAACCCTAAAGCCCAAACCCTAGGCCCTAAACCCTAAAGCCCAAACCCTAGGCCCTAAACCCTAAAGCCCAAACTAAAGCCTAAGCCCTAAACCCTAGGCCCTAAACCAGGAGCGACCTTAAACGACGAAGGGTGACCTTAAACGACGTAGGGTGGCCTTAAACGACGAAGAGTGACCTTAAACGACGAGGGGACGAAGGGTGACCTTAAACGACGAAGGGTGACCTTAAACGACGAAGTGACGAAGGGTGACCTTAAGGGCAGGCCCCCAGCCCTAAACCCTAAAGGCAGGCCCCAAGCCCTAAACCCTAAACCCTACAGGCAAGGGTGACCTTAAACGACGAAGGTTTGACCTTAAACGACGAAGCTTTGACCTTAAACGACGAAAGTTTGACCTTAAACGACGAAGGTTTGACCTTAAACGACGAAGCCATTAGGGTTTAAATTATCATATGATAGAGAGGTTTAGGGTTTGGGTGAAAACACCCACTTTGTGGGAGTACTAGAGTTGAAAACAAATATGAGTAATCGAGTAGTAAAGTAATAGAGTAATAGAATAATAGGGTAATAGAGTAACAGAGTAATAGACTAATAGAGTACTAGAGTATTTGAGTAATAGAGTAATAGAGTAATAGAATAATAGAGTAATAGAGTAACAGAGTATTAGACTATGTGTGTGGAAAATTGAAACCCTTTGCTATGTTCGCGAAGCGAGGACTTTTTTTTGTTTTTTTTGTGCAAAATTCATGCAAATGCTTTTGGTGCGAGTGTCTGGAGCAAGCCTTGTAGTGTGTGTGGAGTACTAGAGTTGAAAACAAATATGGATGTTCGCGAAGCGAGGATTTTTTTTGTTTTTTTTTGTGCAAAATTCATGCAAATGCTTTTGGTGCGAGTGTCTGGAGCAAGCCTTGTAGTGTGTGTGGAGTACTAGAGTTGAAAACAAATATGGATGTTCGCGAAGCGAGGAAATTTTTTGGGTTTTTTTATGCAAAATTCATGCAAATGCTTTTGGTGCGAGTGTCTGGAGCAAGCCTTGTAGTGTGTGTGGAGTACTAGAGTTGAAAACAAATATGGATGTTCGCGAAGCGAGGAATTTTTTTTGTTTTTTTTATGCAAAATTCATGCAAATGCTTTTGGTGCGAGTGTCTGGAGCAAGCCTTGTAGTGTGTGTGGAGTACTAGAGTTGAAAACAAATATGGATGTTCGCGAAGCGAGGAAATTTTTTTGTTTTTTATGCAAAATTCATGCAAATGCTTTTGGTGCGAGTGTCTGGAGCAAGCCTTGTAGTGTGTGTGGAGTACTAGAGTTGAAAACAAATATGGATGTTCGCGAAGCGAGGAAATTTTTTGTTTTTTTTATGCAAAATTCATGCAAATGCTTTTGGTGCGAGTGTCTGGAGCAAGCCTTGTAGTGTGTGTGGAGTACTAGAGTTGAAACAAATATGGATGTTCGCGAAGCGAGGATTTTTTTTTGTTTTTTTTATGCAAAATTCATGCAAATGCTTTTGGTGCGAGTGTCTGGAGCAAGCCTTGTAGTCTTCCCTGTTCTACGTAAGACTGCTGCATGCTTTTAAATTCTTCTAAATTCTTCTAGATTCGTCGGAATTCTGCAGTTTTCTTCCAAAATATTCCGGTTTCTGCCTGTCTGTCAAGACATGCCTGGTTCCCAACACCATTTTTTTTCATTTGTACACACACACGGTATCCCCCATTTCTTCGTTTTTCTACCTTTTCTACCTTTTTCTACCTTTTTCTACCTTTTTCTACCTTTTTCTACCTTTTTCTACCTTTTTCTACCTTTTTCTACCTTTTTCTACCTTTTTCTACCTTTTTCTACCTTTTTCTACTTTTTTCTACCTTTTTCTACCTTTTTCTACCTTTCAGGTTTGATTTTTTTCTTTTTTTGATTATATGTGCTGCTGGGGCCCGGGACGCTGGGGACGCCAGGGACGCTGGGGACGCCAGGGACGCCGGGGATGCCGGGACGCTGGGGACGCCAGGGACGCCGGGCGCGGGACGCCAGGGACGCCGGGGACGCTGGGGACGGGACGCTGGGGACGCAAGGGACGCCTGCCAGGGACGCCGGCGATGCTGGAGAAGATGGTGCGCGGGACGACGCCAAAAGATGCAGGAAGCAGGAAAGGAAGGAAGGAAGGCAGAAAAGAAATGATGGAAGCGCCTGAAGTCCGAAATAGGGCCACACTATGAGCCTCGTGCAACGGAGGCGGGGTGTCCAAGAGTACGTGGGGTTTAGGATTGGCACAGCGTCGTAACAACATGTTGTTGATTATTGTCGCATGTTTCAAAGCCGTGAACGCCGGGATGTGTAACAGTAAAAACAAGGAGCCTTGAGCCCTGAGCAAAAGTACTGGTAATTATTCCAGCTTCTTGGCTTCTATCTCACCTATGCCCATAGCTACCACGAAGACCATGTGCACCTGTGTAAAGTTTTGGCATATGAGGAAGAATATGTGCATCTCTGACTGCTGAGCCCTAACACCTAAGAACCAGGGCTTAAGTCCTGAACCTCGGGTCTGTGAGTTCACGTCTGATGTAAGGAATGCCTTGTGTGTTTCATGTGCCTCTGAAGCAGGACCGCATTCCAAAGGGGGCCCGGGGAAGCGTAGGCAAGAAGATTCGTTGTAGTCAAGGCTAGGGTTTAATATGATCGTTTGTATTGAATCATAATGTTTGTACGGTCTGAGAAACATTGAGTGCTTGTACTTGCAGCCTTCTTACTCTAGACTATAACTTGTAATTTCCCATAGGATGCTGTACCTGGATGCCAAGAAACAGAGTCTACTTAATGTATTTCCGAACAGGGTGCGAATTGTAAATTCCCATAGAATTTGTGCTTGGAATCCAAGAAAAACAAGGGTGCGAATTTGTAATTTCCCATAGGATATGTATTTCCGAACAGGGTGCGAATTGTAATTTCCCATAGGATTTGTGCTTGGAATCCAAGAAAAACAAGGCTGCGAATTGTAATTTCCCATAGGATATGTATTTCCGAACAGGGTGCGAATTGTAATTTCCCATAGGATTTGTGCTTGGAATCCAAGAAAAACAAGGGTGCGAATTGTAATTTCCCATAGGATGCTGTACCTGGATGCCAAGAAACAGAGTCTACTTAATGTATTTCCGAACAGGGTGCGAATTGTAATTTCCCATAGGATTTGTGCTTGGAATCCAAGAAAAACAAGGGTGCGAATTTGTAATTTCCCATAGGATATGTATTTCCGAACAGGGTGCGAATTGTAATTTCCCATAGGATTTGTGCTTGGAATCCAAGAAAAACAAGGGTGCGAATTGTAATTTCCCATAGGATATGTATTTCCGAACAGGGTGCGAATTGTAATTTCCCATAGGATTTGTGCTTGGAATCCAAGAAAAACAAGGGTGCGAATTGTAATTTCCCATAGGATATGTATTTCCGAACAGGGTGCGAATTGTAATTTCCCATAGGATTTGTGCTTGGAATCCAAGAAAAACAAGGGTGCGAATTGTAATTTCCCATAGGATATGTATTTCCGAATTGTAATTTCCGATAGGATTTGTGCTTGGAATCCAAGAAACACAGGCGCTAATCAGGGTGCGAGCGGGTGCGAATTGTAATTTCCCATAGGATATGTATTTCCGAACAGGGTGCGAATTGTCATTTCCCATAGGATTTGTGCTTGGAATCCAAGAAAAACAAGGGTGCGAATTGTAATTTCCCATAGGATATGTATTTCCGAACAGGGTGTGAATTGTAATTTCCCATAGGATTTGTGCTTGGAATCCAAGAAAAACAGGGTGCGAATTGTAATTTCCCATAGGATATGTATTTCCGAACAGGGTGCGAATTGTAATTTCCCATAGGATTTGTGCTTGGAATCCAAGAAAAACAAGGGTGCGAATTGTAATTTCCCATAGGATATGTATTTCCGAACAGGGTGCGAATTGTAATTTCCCATAGGATATGTATTTCCGAACAGGGTGCGAATTGTCATTTCCCATAGGATTTGTGCTTGGAATCCAAGAAAAACAAGGGTGCGAATTGTAATTTCCCATAGGATTTGTGCTTGGAATCCAAGAAACACAAGCAGACGCTAATCAGGGTGCGAGCGGGTGCGAATTGTAACAAGCAGAAGTCTAGAAAAGTGTTTGAAGTTCTCCGCAGATACAACGAAGAATTTGGAATAATTTGGAATAATTTCGAATAATTTCGAATAATTTCGAAGATTTACGAAGATCTAAGAATAATGGTGAAGAACCTGGAAGAATGAAGAATATTATGGAAGTTTACCGAAGAAAACGGAATATTTCCGAATATTTAAGCAGAAATTCAAACATTTCTGAATATTGTTGAATAGGGTTAAACGCACTGACAAGTACCCTTCTGAGAAGCCTCCCTATCCTCACAAAAGAGTAGTAGTAGTAGTAGTAGTAGTAGTAGTAGCAACAGGGTTTAGGGGTTTGTGGGTGTACGGGTTTCGCAGGGTTTGAGGATTATAGAGTTTAAGGGTGTAGCAGGGTTTAGCAGGGTTTAGGGATTCGGGGTTAATTAAGGGTTTAGGGTAATTTGGGGCTGAAAGGGTTTAGAGGTGGGTTTAGGTGTCTACTTGGAGGATCATGGGACTTAGTAAGTAAGGCTATAAGTACCATAATTGGGGTTATAAGTATAGTTACCCTAATAATAACCCTAGTTACTAAGTACCATGATCCTTTAAGTAGGGTATATACCCCTGAGCCAGGAGACCTGGAGTTCTTTGGAGCCATCCGTGCCATACCACGAGCACTACTCCTGGTGATCCCGGAACATGGGATCTATCATCGGGTTGAATAATACGGCCTTAGTAGTTGGAATAGGCAGTTTAGCGCGTATATCATGGTGCAGTATATAGACAGGAATCTTGTCATCTTGGTAACTCAATTCAGGTGTGTGGCCCAGGCCCCTTTGCTGTGGGCCCTGTGCGTGCCACATTTCATGAGCTCCCCTGTGCCGGGGACTTGGCCGAGCTACTCTGTGCTTACGCATCGAATCTCTTCCAAATCGGTATTTTAGGGCTGCACTATGAGATGTGTAGAACCCGCGCATAGGGCCTTTAGAAAAGAAGGGTTTGCAGGCAAACCTCGGACGTCTTGCAAAGCTTAAGCATTTGGTTAAGGATCCTTGTGTCCTGAAGGGCTCAGAAGATGCACAAGAAAGGCCCAGAAGAATGTGTACTAGCATTCTTTCGAGTGTCCCATACCATCCCATACCCAAAGCCCCTTCTAGCCATGTAGACCCTGTACCCCTAAACCCTACCTTAAATAACAGTACTCCTGGCCTCGCCGGCCCACAGCTAGATTTCAGAAAGAGCGCGATATAAGCCACGCTTATAGAGGTGAAGATGCTTCACCGTGCTGTACAGGTTCACTTTGCCCTGAGGCAGTGTGTCATACTTTAGGGGCCTGAATAATTACCAATACTGCTGTGGGGGGTTCCTTTTTAGAGTTACAGTATCATGGGGCCCCAAACACTATCCTAATTATTAAGGCTCCTACATTCACTTCCACTCTCTCAACAGAGGGCTGTTCCTACGTGGCCGGGCTGAGCCAGCCCTGTGCGTGCCAAGCGTAAGGAGACTCTCCGAGGGAGGTTCGGAGTTGAGCAGTCGACGACCACCTCCCCAAAGGGTCCAAGTAATGGTATAGCTTAAGGTTTGATTAGGAAGTTTGGGGGTTGAGGGTTTGGGGGGTGCAAGTAATGGTACGGCATAGCATAATACTTTCGGGGCCCAAATACCTACTACAATGGTACTTGGACCCTTTGGGCTCTTCGTTGAATCGTCGTTCTGAGTGCCACGGCGCGATCTTGCTACTCCGGGTCCCTCTTACAGGAGACTTTGGAGCAACATGCGTAGGAGATGAGAATCTCACTCTCTTAGCTGGGGCCCAACACGGTTGCTCCTTCTTTGAAAGCTTCCTATGCCGTGCATACTTCGTTGTGCAAGCTAGCGGCACCGGAGCTTTCCAGCTTTCAAAGCCACGTCGAAAAGCTCGGAGCGATGCCTATTTTCACCCTCTTTGAAAAACCCTAGAATCGTAGAAACCCTAAACCCTAGAATCCCCGAACGCTTGGAAGGCCTTAAAACCCAGGTCGATAGGGGATGCCCACAGGAATCCCGAATTGCCCTCTACATGTGGGTGGTTCTCTAAATTAGGGTTCCTTGTAAGGTCCCTTTCAAAAGGATGCCACACTATTTTAGGGACTTGAAATGGGACCCTAATTTCCGAACTACGGAGTCTTTGTACCTTTAACATATGAAACTACGCCCTGTATAAGCCTTTCAAGAATTAACATGGTTACCAGAAATCATAAACTACAGCTTCGCATATGTTGATGTATATTCCTTCATTCAGGCGTAGCGAGCCCTTCGTGTGCAATTGAAGTTTACCCTTTCCTGCAGGTGGCACACACCATGGTGCTTGAACGGCAGGCAGGGTTTAGGGTGTAGAGTTTAGAGTTTAGGGTTTAGCGTTCAGGGCAGGGTGAGAAGTGGTTGATGCAGGTCTGTTGCAGGAAGCACGTGCGACAGTAGTTGTCGTGTTCTGTTGCCTCCACCCACTCTGAACCCAAGACTTCTACAGTCGTACCTATGAGCTTGCCCATATTTTAGTTTTCCTTCTCTGTTCGCAACTAGAGACCAACCGAAAAACAGAGACGGAGATTGACACTGACCGAGAGGTGGACTACCCCAAGAGTCCTATCTGTTTTGGTCTTTAAGTAGACCCTATAGGTGTATATTTTTGGCCTAGGTCTATGCTATCTGGGCACAGTGGCCCTTAGGACTAGGATAGCGGTACAGTTTCCATCAGCCGCAATAGAAAGACGCGAAGATGGCGGTCGGGCACAAAAGGAGACAGGTAAGTAGTAAGTATAAAAGCAGCAACACTCATGACGATCACAGTAAGCGTAGTAACAAACACAAAAATAATAGCTTATTATAGCGAAAAGTTCTGCAAGCAACACTAACAGTAACGATATGATAACACCAATAACAACGAAAATGATAACAACAACAATTAGAATCGGTTTTTGAATACTGATACGAATAATGACAGTAGTAGCAATGAAAAGAGAGATGATCGCACTAGCAATAATGAAGAACAGCATTAGTACAGGACCCCGCTTCACCACAGTAGTATCGGCCCTGCTCAATCTCAGTGAAGCGAAAAAGTCACATGTCAACGCTTGCAGGATGTAGACTCAAAGAGCCCCAAAGCAACTGTGTCACATACTTCCTTTCTAGTCCTCCATCGCTTTGGATCCCAGTCCGGTTTTAACTGTACATCCAGACCACAATGCCAGTACGAGCGGCACTCTGAGCCGTAACACGATGAGCCCGACCTGAAATTAACAAGTCCACCCCCTGTGGAAAGGCCAGCAAGCCTTTTCAGATTTCCTTGAACGAGCTTTTGAAGTCCGTCTCGGCCCTACTCAGTTGTCGGGTTGCCTAGTAGTGCCTTCAGAGCTTGGATGGGTTTGTGGGTGTCTCGCTTCGGGCTTGCAGCATGGGAAGAGGTCTCGGCGACTGCCTACGACCACAGTGAACAGGATTGTGAGTCGGTAAAGGTAATAGTAGTAGCACATGCTGTGGGATTAAAGTACCAGTATACGGACTACAGGCTATCGTGTGTACAATATGGCACATGGACCCTGAGGGAATGTGACAGGTATTGCAGTTGGAGAATGAGAAGCAGACACCGCTTCACAAGCGGATGAAGAGCGATCCGAACATCTGGTGCGCACCATTCCCGCTCGCATGGGTCCGAGCTGCGGTGTACAGGGCGTCTGTAGATTACAAAATCTATGCATGCAGGCAAGTAGACAGGTAGCTAGGAAGCTGGGTGGCTCGGTGGGTAGTTAACCCACAGGCCTAGGCCGGGCCAACGTACTATGAGGGCGTGAATAGTTACCAATACTGTTGCCTAGTGTTGCTTAGTATGTCTATTCTATAACATACCTCAGAACCGTATTATCCTTTTCAGGAACCCTTTCAAGGAACCCTCCCCTAATGCCCCTAGATTGTAGAACCTTTTCTATTTATAGATCCCGCGTAGACCCCTTTTCGGGCTGAAGGAACCCTACTCAGATGGTTAAAACCCCAAGCCCTAAGTTATAAGCCCTATAAACCCTAAACCCATAAACCCTTCATTACCGCTCAAGCCCTTGACCCGGCCTTCGTACCCAAAAGGGGTAGTCCTCGATATTTGTCGAGTTGAGGTTTTAGGGCTTCAGGGTTTGAGGCTTTAGGGTGAGGGGTTTCGTTTTTTGTTTAGAGTTTTAGGGTTCGGGGCTTTAGGGTAGGATTTAGGGTTTCAAGGTCGAGACGGACCCTTGGAGTCTTGTGCGCTGTTGTACTTCTACTGCCGCCAGGGGCGACGACACCCGAAACCCTAATCAAGCCCTACAGCCCAAAGCCCTGAAACCCCCAACACTACAGGGCGCTTTGGCTCAAGGCAGAGGGAGAACCGGGGTCAGTCTCCACCGAGCGTTTGGGATTTCGAGGCACAGCGAGTTCCTTCAGGGTTTAGGGTTGAGGGCGAGTCCTGATAGGCGTTTTGGGTGGTATGGAGCTATTGGGGCTGAGACTAATGTAGGATCTACGGTGTCGGGTGCTGGGAGTTGAGGGATGTACCGTCGAGTTTAGGTTTTGAAGTTCAGGTTGGGGGATGTGGGGTTTGAGGCTCGCTTGAAAAGAAGCGTGTTACAGAGCAGAAGCTGTAAGGCGAATCTTTCTGACTTCTGGTGAAGGCCGGGTGAAGGCGATTGCAGTACGCTATTAGTATTGGGTTTAGAGTTTAGGGGTTCTTGCAACAGGAGTTTTGCTCTGTCGCCCTGCTTCTTGGGGAATCCGTTTTGTGGTAGCCTTTGCCACCGATAGTCTTGGCTAAACTCCAAACCCTAAAATCCTGTCCGAACCCTAAACTGTAAATTCAAAGACCAAACCCGACACTCTTGGTACTCTTGCAACCCCGGCAACCTTGCGAAACCCCGAAGCCACACAGAGAGAATTCTGCTTTGCAAGGTCTAAGGTTCCTTTAGGTGCTCCTACTTCTGTCTTACACGGGTTGCAATAGGGCTCTATGAAGTCTCGACGGTCATTTAGGGTCAGAGGCAATCCACACTGGGGGCTACAATTTCTGAAAACTGAATCGCAAAGATCTGGGAAGAAAACCCAGAAACACCAAGTTCACTTAGTGGGGGGCCGTGGTCAGTATCGGCACGATACTTCATGGATCAGTCCGCACTCACGGGGTCTGGCACAGGCACCATGCGCTGCATGCTTGAGCTGATCATTTTCACGGCCGCCGTCCAGACCCTGGTGGTCTTAGGGATTTCGGTGTTGTTTAATTAAGACTCAGGCCGTTTTTGGATTAAGCAAGGCTCAAACACTCCATAACGCTATAAAGCCTCAGTTAAGGTTTTAGGGTTGATGAGTAGTCACCTTCCTACACGCTTCTCTGTGTGTGTGTGCGTGCTTTAGGGTGCTGGCACTTTTGGGATGTAGCGGAGGCTAGCTTTAGGCTTCAGGGCTTTCGGTCTTGTTGGTGCCACTGCCTTTATACGGGTATATACTTACGTATCTTACGTAGTATACACTTTGGCGGTTAAGGAGTCCCCAAGCTACTTAAGAGCCAATGTATCCCTCACCCACACCAAACCTTCCCGAACGCTGCAACCCTAAACTTAACCCCTGGACCCGGCAATCCAGAGCGAAGCAGTAGATTCGAGGCCGTAGTATACGCAGGGTGGTTGCACCCCTACTAGAAAAAATACGCGAAGAAGAGACCCGGAACTTAGAGCAACGCAGCAGCCCCGCGCAACCCTGTCAAGCAATTCTAAAACCCATATGTTAAATGAATCCCCATAAAGGTCCCATGAAGCCCTGAACGCTAAACCCCAAACTCTGCTCTTCACCTCTAATCCCCGAAGGCCCATAGCTGAGCAAAGTCACGATGAGGCCCAGGTTCTTTTCCAAAGGGTACAAGTAATAGTAGAGTATATGCTTTTGGGGCCCAAATACCTAGTAAGTACCTACGATAATGGTACTTCGGTTGATGATTTAAATCCTGCATGACCCATAATAAGGAATATACCGTAATTCCCATAGTTTCGGGCCCTTAAGGTAATGCAGGATTTATATCATCAACCATTGGACCCTTTGGGGTTTAGCTGTCTTGAGCCCATCCCCAGGCCGCCACAGACTGCCCACCGGGATTTGCGAAGTGCGCTTCTTGTCAAATACAAGGGTTGCAACAGGGGTTTGGGGTATATCCTCATGCAAGAACTTATAGCATGGAGAACTTTATCGAATGGCATCAGAAACCATTCAGGGCTTTGCGGTGTCAGGCCTCACGGGTTTCCCAGATGGCGCTTCGGGAAACTGTTCATTTTCTGTATAAGCTCCTATAGAGGTACTTATTCACAACCCAGTTTAAGGGTTTAGGTTTTAGGTTCCCAGCACTGAGGCCTTTGGGATGTTGGGTATGAATTGGGTTCAGGGCGTAGAGAGGAGGTTCGTTTGGACTCGGATATTGGAGAGAGACACCTAGGTTATCGTTGAGGTTTCGGGATAGGTAGGTTGAGAGGAACTCAGAGTTCAGAGCCTACAAAATTCTTGGGGTTTATCACTGTGTGTACCGTTCTGGTGGAGACTAGCTTTATACGTTCTGAGGTATTGAAAGGCAAAAGTATTCTTGCAGTTCGTACGGTACTACATCTAGATTCTAGATCGTCAGCAGCAGTTACCTTTGTTTACTTTCTTCTCTAGGAGCCAGAACAAGCTTTGTGTTGGCTATTGCTGCAGCCATGCATGATGCAGGATGACAGGTCTGATTAACGGGTGATCCCTCAATCTACCTCAATTATCGATTTTGAGTGTGCTTCCCAGGAGATTCCTCACCTTATGGATTACTGGAGTCTCTTCAGGTTTCCTCTGAAGGATCGACACCGTTTGGGAAGCTTCCTCAGCCAGCATGGCCATAGATGAGAGCATTGCTCCTCGCTCGAGCTTCCATGAACCCGGCTAGCCGATCAGCCTAGGATCGGCCCGGCAGCCGCGAAACCTTAATCCATACCATCCACCCTAAAGCCGAACCCCGGGTGTTGTAAATCAGGTTCCACGGTTCAATTGACACTTCTTCTTTTTTCATAAGGAACCTATATAGAGACCAGAATGCAGCACTCTTGTCGCGGCAGCCTACTCATCGCAGGTGGACTGTATGCGACAGTTTCAATACTGTAGTTACCACTATGGGCTAATAGGCCCTAAAGATCCCTATTAGGACCCTATTAAGGGTAGATTAAGGTACCCATTGGGTCTAATAGCCCATAGTGGTATGCGGGAACCACCTGCCAAACGCTTTCCAGGAATGGATCGGTCAGACATGCGGGCGCCTTAGGAGAGGGCAGCGGAGGTTGGGATTTGGGATTTGGCTCCACCGGACAGGGTTCTGGCTCCACTTACATTCGGCATGTGTCCAGTCAGTGTCCTAAGTAAAGGCGAATCGTTGTCCGGAAGATCCATAGCTCGCAGATTTGAGCTCGCAGATTTGCCCAGTGCAAACCTGCAACCAGGTTCGGAGATCAGTGGCTTCCAGGTACGAAGACCTACGCCGGACAATGCAACAAGCAATTATCTTCACCATATGTACTGTTTGATTGATGCCACGTCTCCGCCTTCGACGACAAGATCTGTAGTGTTATCAGTCGTGGTTCCTGTCCTCTGCTTTTTTCTCAACCTCGCACAGTAGTACCATAAAAAGCAGGAGGAACAGCATCCACAGAGGCTGCCATCCAGAAGCACGAAGCCTTCAAACCCTAAACCCCAAGCCGCCAAGTGGGCATGGCTCACAGTACTTGTAGCAGCCACTGTAATAATCTGACATACAGTTTCAAGATTGGTATGAATATTGGTACTCATTCGCATGCTCATACTGACTGTTTATAAAGCCTCAGATGTTCTTCGAATTGAGGACTTAGAGGTTGCAAGGCTCCACAGTGTCAGCGTGTAGAATGGAAACTGGCAAGGTGGCGACAACTCCTGCTGCTCCGGCATGCAGACCATCTGTGGGGCTAACTCCATCTGTGATGGCGAGGCGGGGCAAAGCACTTCTGATCTCCGCCTTAACCCCAAACCTCGGGCCCCCAAACCCTGGGCCCCCTTTTCCCTCCCCGACATAACCCCAAGTCCCTAAAAGCTAGGCTCACCCTGAACCCTTTCAAGCCCTGAAGGCCTATGCCATAAACCTCGCTTCTGAGGAAGCCTCAGCTACCTCGGCCCCTCCAAGCAGACCCTCATCTTCAAAAGCCGCATGCCCCTGAACCACAATACTATAGGGGCCGAAATCACCAATACTATCTGGGGGGTTCTATCCTAGTTAAGGCCTCTATATTGAGGCCATGAACCGCAACTATGCCTCAAGACATCCCACAACCATACACCCTATGCCCCTGAACCATCAACCAGGAACCACACAACCCTCAGTTCCAGACCCTAAGACGCTGAAAGCTTAGCCCTCACAACTCTGAACCCCCCACACCTGAGCCGTACAATCCCAAACCCCAAAAGCCGTTGCCAAAAACCCTACCGGGTGTCTAGGGTTCCTGGCCCACGGCGCAGGTATTAGGGCTTGGGAGAGGGTCGTACCAAACCCCTTTTATGAGGGATTCGAATTTGGGGGGGGGACTTACACTACTTCTTGTCTATATAGGGTTTGGGAGGACCTACTACTTGTC